TTGAATAAATGTATATAGGGACCAGAAAATAGCATAAAATCATGTCTGGTACCTTTAAAGTACAGTATCTACATGTTCCTTTTCAAATATTCTTCTGTTTTATAATTAAAAGGATGTTATCCAACAAACTTGGGGAATAAAAGCTATGAAAAAAACATTAATGGATGAGAATATGCAATTATCTCTGGTTGACCATTAAAATTATATGTGAATTTACATATAGCTTTGTATACATACATATACAACATATCATTTTATTAACTTTGTCAGGGAGGAATTCAGTTGTGCTATATAGCTTCCATCCAAACAGGGAGGTGATCCAAAAGCCAAATCGATGTTCATGTACAGTAGTTACGATGAAATGTTTAATCTTGTTCTACATATTTTTTTTCATCATCTTTAGTGCTGTATGACAACTTTATGGGAGATATAAAGGGAGGACGAGCAGGAGCAGGAGCAGGTGAACTATAACATTTGCATGACCTTTAACCTTTGTCATACTGCAAGCAAAAAATAACCAAACAAAATTAATTGGTGATCAACACATGTAAATGTTTAGTATATAAAAGATAGCTACACAGTAGTTTTAAAATTCTGACATAGAACGAGGTTCAAACAATATGAAGTATAAAGTTTTTTACTTCCTTAAGTGATATTTGATTCCCATTTTGATAAGAATTCAAAAAATCTACAAGACCAATAGTTTTTGTGGCTTAGCAAGTGCCAAACAAATTTTAAGAAACTGGTTATTCATTAACTTTCTGATCCAATAAATGCATTTTCCATGTCTACATGTGTATGAAAAGAAATATGTACAGTGTATGTATACATAAATATTATTTAGAAATAATTGAATTTGCAATTTCTGGAAAAGTATAAAAGGTGATATGAGAAATTTAAAGAAAATACAAAAATTGTTTTTTTGTTATCATTTAATTATTATTAAAGATAAACTTGAGTTCTGGTAATGCGATTGCATTGTGAAAGAAAAGGTGTGGAATGGATCAGAAAAGTTGATCATATAGCATGTAAGTAATGGTGTGTAATGCAAGGTTCTGGAGTCATCAAAATCATCATAAATTTGGCAGAGTCTTGGTAAAGTAACAATCACTTACACAGAAAGATGTATATGGGACAACACACATGGTGTTGGGGCTAGTACTACCCTGATTTCCTTATCTTTCTATGCTCATTACTCAGCCAGTATACATTTTCTTCCAAAATTGTTTGGCACATGACATTTATTTGTAATCTTGAACATTCAGTGTAAGTTTTGTTAGATTCTGTGAGAATTCATTTTCTTTATTTACCAGAACTCAAGTTTATCTCTAAGCAAAATGGGAAGTGTTAGGGTTCTGTTGGATTCCAAAAAGTTGACCTCAAATCTTGCATTATTTTTTGCTAATCAGCAAACAAGTGTTTCTGATTGATTTTTCTTCTAATAGTGTGGCTAGCCTATTAACCACATTTCCACTCTGTTGGTTTTCAGACAAAAGAAATTAGTGGGTTGTGAAATTATGTGTGCAGCCCGAGTATTACAGGTCAATGCAAATAATGGATAATGGTATTTGTGTAACTTTTGTAACGGGTCTCATAAAGCACTTGTGGGCAAAAGGCCATTTTTGTAATGTAAATTTATACTTAACCGCCTCAATATAAATATTTTATTCACCTGTTTACAAATAATTCTATTTCATTAGTCAGAATGTAAGTTGCACACATAATGTGTTATGTGGTAGCGAAAGCCATAATGTTTGTCCTACCTAGCAACAACTAATGTATGCAATTTGAATTCTGATTATTGAAACAGAATTATTTGTAAACAGGTGAATGAAATCATTCTAATCAAGGCACTTCACAATCAAAGGCATATATATGCAAGATTTGTTAACATTATAAAAATGACCTTTTCTGTGCAATGTGTACTGTACTTATGATATTTATCCATACATTTCATTCCTGAATTTAAAAAAAAGCTAGATATAATGACAGTGATAGCAAAGAGCACTATATTTAAACAATCACATCTTGATATATTTTTTTTTTTAAACTTTTGTTAATAACATAATACATTTACCTAGTTTCTATATTACTGTTCATTATGATGGAAAATGCAGAAATAAAATGCCCATAATAGAAGTCAAAGGATAACTACAATTTGATACGATTAAGGATTCTAGATTCAAATTTTGATTAGGATTAGAGCTAGATTAGTTGTAAATGATTTTCAATTAAAGCCCTGTCAAATACTTTTCTTTTCCAGGCAATGAACCGATTTACGATAACAGAAGTCCCCAGAAGGCATCGACCAAAAGCAGTGACTACGCCAAACCTTATGACTACCTGAAGCGCCAGAGTCACCCCTATGAATATGCTGGTCGTAAGTTTCAAGTCTAGCTGTTCACTTTGTTTGATTAATATGAAAGGCATCATTTAACAATGTTAAATCTGAGATGCATGGCCCTATAGGTGTTATCAGGGTCTGTGATATGGTGTAATATTGAAGCCCTACAAAATTGCGCTTCAAAATGATCAAGAAGTGCCTCAAAAAATGTAAAAATCTTTGAGTGACTGGGTTTTGCCATACTCATTTTCCCCAATAGACTGTAGTGTTAAAAAAACGTTAGGAAAACAGAAAATTTGATTTCGATTTCCAATGATAAATATCTTGATAATCAGACAGGCGATCGGCTTGTAAAAGTCATGGGATTCCTGACCGACCTAAAGGTTTATAATTATCATTGCAGCATGAGCTAAATCCAGGATTTTGTTTCAGAATCTGAGACAAAGTTACCCAATCCCTTTAATATTAATTGATTAAATACCGGTTTATCCCTATGAGTCACCCTTCTGAATATGCCGGTCGTAAGTTTAAGTCATGTAATAGATCGTCAAACACTTTGTTTGATTAATATTCAATGATTAAATATCGTTTTATTTGATCAGTAATCTGTATTTGATCGGTGGGAGTAAACTTGCTTGTTTGCTAGATGCCTTTCAGACATTGGCGAATCAAGCCTTTCCATCTACTTCTATGTAAAACATGGCTTAAAAAGTTTTTAGGATATGTTGTTGCCCATAAAGTTGGAATGATTTGTCCCATCTCTTTTCATGAAATGATTGTATGACAGTATGGTGTATTATTTTTTTCACAGGAGCGTCACGTTTTAGTTATGCGGACTTATGCCGCGTGTATTTGATACAGTTATAAAAGATTAATAACAATTGAAAGAGTATTGTAACCTAAATTTTTCACAAGACAAAGTCCATGTTCATAAAATCTATAAGAGCCAATTGCTGGGGAATACCACATGGAAAATTCCATTGAGTTCTATTGATAAATGACAAATGATTAACCTTTTTGCATTAAGAAAGTACATACATATATGGTACCCTACAGAAATAGCACAAATTGTTTTCTTTGAGTTTCCATTTGAATAAATTACCAGGTGATGGCTAAATATTATACATAAATTTAAAGTTGAATTGAATCAAGTACCTATCACAAAAATATTACAATTTAAATTACCGCAGAGGACCCCACTGTAAAGCTGTAAAGCTTTTATTCCAGAAGTCTACTGCCATAGGTGGTTTTTGAATTAATTTTTATGAGTTCTGTGGTGTATTCTTGATATACATGTATACAGTTTCTATCTTCTCAGAATCTTGTAGATTGATCTCCATGGCTCTTTAGATTGATTGATAAAGTTCTGAGCAGATATAACTGATTCTTGATGGTTATCAAGAATAAATCATATTGTCACAATCATTTCATGAAAAGAGGTGATGACATTTATTCCAACTACCTAAACGAGTAAGGGTTTAAATGTACATAGACATTATAATGCATCAGATATGTGTTGCTACATTTAGGTAGAACAGGCATTATGGCTTGTCCTTCTTCACAACCCAGAATGTATGCAGTTCGCATTCTGACTATTGAAATACAAATATTCTTAACAGGTGAAAACAAATTTGTAATGAGGCACTTAAAAAAGATGTGTGCACTCAATTTGATAACATTACAAAAATGGCCTATTGCCTTTATATCCGGCTGTGAATAGAAAATATTTCTGAACCTAATTCTTAATTCTTTGAGGTAGTTAATGCCACTTTAAATATTTAGGTGAATATATTTAAATGTTTCATATGAAAACAAATTGTGTCTTTCTTTTACATGTTTATGACCATGTATTCCGGGTGTTTAAATTTTCACAGTAATCAGCCATTAAAACCTGTGATACTCATAAAGGGTAATCATTTGTACTCTAAAGTGACCCTTTTTTCCCCCTACAGCTGGGTCGTTTATTGGAAGCGCCCCTCCCCCTCTACCCCCGATGAGGAAGAAGGAAGGAGCAGCTGACCCCATGGATGAGCCTACCTATGAAGCCTTCCGTGAAGGAGAGTATCAGTCTCTTCTGAGAAACGGTATTAAAATCAATTACCTCCTTTATGATTATTTCAACCCTTTCAGAACAGGTTTTATCTGTAGGGCTATTGTGATCTTAAAATTTAAACCTCAGACAAACTTCCTGTATTAAAGGCCAAGTCCATTCCAAAAATAATTTACTTTAAATAGATGCAGAAAAACAAGAGAAACAGAGCAAACAAAATTTTGAGTAAAATCGGATAACTAATGAGGAAGTTATGATTTTGTTTAAAGTATGAAAAACTATGGAACTTAGAAAATCGCTACACAAATTGCCAATTTGGTTATCAGTTTCTGATGTCATTGCCTCACTATTTATCAATTGCTTTATTTATTTTTATCCCATTAATTTCCTTTTTTATCCCCAAAAACTTGATTTCCCCTTGCCTTTGCCCAGGTTATGATTTGTATCATATTGCGTGCATGACATCTCACAAATTTTTTTATAAACTTTGAAGATTTTATATTAATTTCTGAAAATTGTATATTCATTATATATCGGTTACATGTACATTTATCTCTGGTGGATGAAATTTGAAATTATTAAGACATTTGTGGTACCAGGTGCATATAATGTCAATTAAACTTTGTTTAGTGATAAGTCATTTCTGTTGAATGGCATTAACTTGATTGCGTTTCCTCATCTCTTTGGTCTGGTTTATAGCCTCATCTAAGATTCGTCGAGCTGATACTAACATTGTTGCAGTAAAGTTTGATAAGCTGGTACAGGCAGAGAGCCCAGTGACGGGGTCACCAGTCTTCTGTGGTAGCTGCGGAGCTGCCATGTCACATCTCAGTAAGATATCACAGTTGTACTCAGGAAAGGTAAGCAAGCTTGGAGAATTATCTTGTGAAAGGGGTGATAAAATAAATGATCGGAACAATAATCTGTGTATCGATAGAAGACTTAACCATTCCCCCCCCCCCCCCCGGTTGTTATTATTATTATTATTATTATTATTTATTCGGCAAAAACAAAGAAAATCATTGTATACAAAACAAGAGTACATTTGGAAAAGAGTCATGGATGCCAGGAAAAGAAAAAGATTAACTAAATAACTGTTACCCCAAGGTCTTCTTTTCCAATCCATGTGACTTTACCGAAATGGTAACAATAAAATGGGTTTTATGAGTTATTGAAATGCTTTATGAGTAGAGAACATGAAGGAGCAAAGTTCATATCAAGCCCCCTCCCCTACTGGGGTAGGATGAGATTGAGTGGGGTTCTGTAAGTTTAGATGGGGTAGGGTAGGGTGGGATGGAGTGGGGTGAGGTAGGTTGGGCTCAACTTTAGAATACCCCACCAATACGGTCTATATACAAGAACATCCATCACCAAGGGTTAGAGTTAGGGGTAGGGTTAAGATTAGGGTTAATGTTCATTGGTGGAGTGTTTGTTAACCTACAAACGTTTGGTCAATTTTTGGTGGTGGGGAAATTCTAAAGTTGCTCCGTAGATTGGGGTAGGGCAAGTAGGGGTAGGGTGGGATGAAGTAGAATGAGGTGGAGAATAGTAGGTAGGGTTAAGGTTTGGTGAAGGATGGGGTGGGTTAGGATATGGGGTAGGGTGGCATGGAGTGAGGCGGCAAAGGGGCGGGGTGAGTTTGGTTGTGGTTGAGTACTATGGAGTGGGGTGCGGTAGGGAAGGGTTGTGTAAAGTACATGTAGGTATCTCAAACTGTAGTATGATCACTTTTCCAGCCTTCAGTCTTTTCTTAACATTATTTCATCATGAATATAATGACAACAATTCTGCAATTTCCTTGACTTCCCATGCAGTTCTGGATCTGTGAGTTCTGTGAGCATGAAAACCCTGCTGCTGATGGTACAGTCATACCTACAACAGAGGACAGTACCTATGTGACCGGACCAGGTTCGGGAGGCGATGCAGACCCCCTTGTCATCTTCTGCGTGGATGTATCCGGTAGCATGGCTGTTACTACAGAGGTAGGGTGCCCTCTATGTTCAATGACATGCTAATCTTGATAATGGCAAGGTTAACGCCCCACTGCACTACTTATAGCTACTTGCACCCTCTATACAGCAAACAATGCCTAATCGGTGCCGGTTGGTCCCCCAGTGTCCAGTGACCTTGCATGGTGGTCTAATCCCCCCTAGCCAAACTAGTGCAGACTGGCTTTAAATGGCAATGTTGTCAGAGAAGATAATGGCACCCTCATCATCTTCTATGTAGATGGTTGCCAGAAGGCTCGGATTAGAGCAGTGGTCTCGTAACCTAATGGTCCTGGGTTCAAAACCAAGTCAATGAGCTTGTGCCTTTTGATCAGACATTAGTCCTCCTTACCAAGTCCCTCAGAGTCAGAGAGGACTTAAAGCCGTCGGTCCCCCTGGTTGCTAATGTACAACCATATACAGTCAAACCTGCTTTAGTGACCACCTGTCTACAAAGACCACATTCTTTTGTTTCTCTTGAAAATGGTTTCTCATTGAAATATGTACTAAAGGAACCTGTCGACAAAGAACACTTTTTGTGTTTCCCTTGGGCGGTCGCTATAGACAGGTTTGACTGCTTGCTCTGTATCTATTGGCAGTGAGAATCAGGTTTTGGCAATTTTTGATGTATTTTGTTATAGTCATAATAACTATTTACCATATCAATTGCTCAGTAATTGTTATTAGCAGACATATAGAATCATGGCGGCTGTTGCAAATTGCCAAGGGATACCAATTTCAAGTCTAAATAAAATTTGCATTTTTCTAACGCAAGGGCTTCAAGCACCGTCAGGGAAATTGTGCATGTTGCGAACATGAAAGGCCCTTGGACCCGTTTCACAAAGCCTTTTTTCAATGACAAATGACAAATCTGTTGATAACTAATCAGAAGCAAGGATTTCCGTAGCTTATAACACAAACTGTCATTTGTCAGTGATGCAAGTTTTGTGAAACGCCCCCCTGAACTTCGCCGTTTGTTTTTGCAGGTGTCAAGTGAAGTTTCTGTGCAAGGCAGGCGCAGTGATGAACAGGTGGCCCTCCAGGCTTACCAGGAGGAGCTGGACGCGGCTGAGCAGAGGTCAAGGGTCGCCCACCAGGAGGCTCTCGATGCCCAGATGCTGGCTGACTATCAAGAGACCATTGAAGGCCAGGTCCAAGCCTTAGCCCAGATCCAGATCGCAAGGACCGCATCGACGGCATCGTCCGTTGCACCATCAACTCAAGCCACAGCACAGGCACCAGCCACACCCTCTGCCCCGCCCCCTACCCTCCCCCGTCCTGCCTCTGTGGTCGGTGGTGCCCAGGCTGGTGGGCAGAGAGAGCTGGAAGAGAGGTACAGCGCTGCACCCCAGAGGTCCCCTGCTGGCTCCCAGAAGCCTGCTGCACCCCCAAGGCCTGCTGCACCACCGAGACCAGCTGCACCACCTCAGCCCAAGAAGCATGTCTCGTATGTCTCCAGACTTCAGGTAAATTCAGTAGTTTTACTTCTTAAAGCCACACTGTCCTACTTGTAGCTACTTGCTCCCTCTATATAGAAAACAATGCCTAATCAGTGACCATTGGTCCCCCATGATCCTCTTTTTCTCATGTAAATTGAGAGCTGAGTTGATGAGATAACCACCTGTCCAGTGACCTTGCAGTGTGGTCTAATCCCTCCTATAAACCAGTACAGATAAGCTTTAAGAAAAGATGCAATAAAAAGATGCAAACAATGCATTTGAGTAATCTTTGCATTTCTGAAATTTTGAATACCTGTGATGTCAAAATTCCTTGCTATGAACTTTGCTCTCTCTATTCTTTTGTTTAATTTTCAGAGAAATAAACCCTGTAAAAAAACTTTGAGAACTAAAGTTTGAATGATTATATCTTGCTTGCAATGGGATGATTATCGCTTTGTTTTATAGTATCATTAGAAAGTATATTCACCTTTAAAAAATATACTATATTTGTTGTATTTTGCTGCCCTTGAATGAGCAATATACATCAGAATAATGGACAGGATCAAAAGCAAAAAGTTGCAAAATGCACTGGTAGACATTGTTATTGTTATGCAGTGCACTACACAGCAGCCTTACACACTTGACAGTAGGAAGGAAGCACAGCCAAAAAAGAGCAGTGTATTTTGCAACTTTTTACTTTTGACCTTGCCCCTTTTTTTGATGTTATATACATTCCATGACTGAAAAAGCATAACAAATAGGCTTTCATTTTAAACAAGAATTAGCACACTTTCTAATGATTTTGAACAAAGTGATAGTTATGCCATAACAAGAGAGATATAATCAATCAAACCTGGGTTTCCAAACTTTTTATGAGGGGTTTATTTTTCATGTTTGAGAAGGAGTGGAGAATCTGCATGCATTTTGTGCAGGCAAACTAGAATCCAATTACAGGGGTAATAATATATCTTTAAAGGTATTACAAAGTTTTGGGAAATTTTGAAAAATGGGTTGATAGTGATTCTTTACAATTTTGATATATTTGGATGCCCTTGTGGATGCATTAATGTATTAATAACACCAGAAATTTTAGCCCCTAAAACACTTCTGCTTTCGAGAAAAATTGAATATAAAGATTTACCGGTGCTCCCGGTAAATTTTGATAAATTTCAAATAGCTCCTACGGCCGTACAATGGTAGCTGCGATAATGAAAATCTCTGAGTATTTAGTTGTGGTATATAATTTCCGAACGAGAATAGCTAATCGGTCGATTTTAGTCAATAAACATTGTTTTATAGCTTAATTAATATCTTGACCTTGAGAGGGAGCTATTCAACATAAAGTGTTTATTATTTACAATTTCATAACTTTAGAGTCGATTTCGACCGCGACAACGATCACTGAATATTGTAGGATCGTATATGCTTCCAATATGTTCATTTGAACCAAATTCATGACCCCATACCAAAACTTTGTATTACCTTTAAAGCGCTTAGAGACATTGTCGATGTATTAAGCGCAATATAAACGTGGATCAATATTATTATTATGTCCTTTTCGCATTCCATGCAGTCAGCCATACAAGAGCAAGTTGCTAAACTAAAGACAAAGAACAGTCAGCATACAGTATGATATTAACAAATTGTATTGTTTTTTTTTGTTTTTTTTTCTCAGTCCATGCAGTCAGCCATACAGCAGCAAGTTGATAAACTACGAGCAGAGAATAGTCACAAGAGGGTCGGACTGGTAGCATTCAACAACAATGTAAGTATGATTAACTTATTAAAACATTCACTTCATGTCATGATCAAACAAAGTGACCAAAATGTGTATTTAAAGGTCCACTGCACTACTTGTAGCTACTTGCGCCCTCTATATAACAAACAATGTCTAATCGGTGACCATTGGTCCCCCATGATCCTCTTTTTCTTATGTTAACTGAGAGCTGAGTTGATGAGTTAACCACCTGTCCAGTGACCTTGCAGAGCGGTCTAATCCCTCCTGTAAACTACGGCAGATAAGCTTTAAAGCAAAATGAGTCCCCCCCCAAAAAAAAAAAATAAAAATAAATAAAATATGTAGATATATAAATATATATGTATATATGAATAAGTAGATACATATGAATTAATTAATTCATAAAGAAATAAAGAAATAAAGAAATAAACCAAAAAAATATGTAGATATATAAATATATATGTATATATGAATAAGTAGATACATATAAATTAATTAATTCATAAATAAATAAATAAGTAAATAAATGAATGAATAATAAAATAATGACAATAACAAATAAATAAATAAATAAATATTAATAATAATATAAACAAACAAGATAAATAACATAGAAATTTAAATCAAATCTTGTAAAAGAGGCCTCCCAAACCACTTATTTGGTGTAACAGAGATGCACATACAGATGCCAGTTTGGCCAATCAAGAATATTGTTGCATGGACATAGTAAAACAACCATTGAGAGAATGAAGCTTTCAGTCTATTATCCAATGATTTTTTCTTCTTTTTTTGTTTGTTTTAGGTGACTGTGATCGGAGACGGCAGCCTTGATCCGGTGCCCCTAGAGGGCGCTGGTCTAACCGACAGAGAGAGCCTGATCAGCCTCGGACAGAACTTCCCTCTTCCTGGTCCCATATCAGAGGTTCATCGCTGTCTCACAGAAAAGATATACAGGTGAGATGGATAGCCCACATCCTTCAAGTCGGCCATTTTGTCTGTGACTAGATGAAGGCGAGATAAAGCACTTCCTAATTTAGGGCCAAGTTTGATTTTTTTTTTTTTTTCATTGCTATCATCTTTAGGAGTGAAACCTATGAAGACTGGTCACTGGTCTTATGCAACATGAGGCAGAAGCCAATGAGAGCAATACTAAAAAGAAAACTAAAATATCTGAAAGAACACCGATTAAGACAAGACTAAATCAGATATTGAAGAACTCAATTAGACCATCAATCATGCCAAAATTAAAGCAATACCAAGACGATTTTCTAATATTCAACGTCACCACACAAGTTTGAAGGGGGAAAAGAGACAATAAAGAACATAAAATATGCAGATTTATAAGCATTACTAAGAAAAACGATGACAGAAAATATGGCCCAAGACTACAATAAAACAGACAAGATCTGTAACCCATTAGCAACTAGATATTTTGTAAAAATGGCCTATATACTCACTGGAAGATGTTGCAATATTGCTCTCATTTTGACATTGTTCTGAACAATATGAAACATGCACTATTTTTCTATGCAGAATCCTCCTGTAGACATCATAAGGATTACGCACGTATAACATTATCACGGTGGACCCTAGAACGGATACCATAGTGCATTGAAAGCTGACGAAAACTGACAAAAACGGTCGGTTCAGTGAGTAAAAGGGGGGGGGGGGGCAGTTTCGGATGGTTTAGTTGCTAAAGGGTTAAAAGCATAAACAATACCGTGATAAGAGGACAATTTTTATAAGCACATGCCTTATTAGATGATGAGTCATTTATCCATTACCTCAATTCTAATTATCAGCTTAACAGAGAGCGGTCAGACCGCGTTAGGCCCCGCCCTCCTGATCGCCATCTCCATGGCAGCACAGAAGCCAGGGTCAAAGGTCATCATGTGCACCGACGGATCAGCCAACGTCGGGTTGGGGGCGCTCAACGACATGGACAATGACGCGGCCTATGAACAAGCAGCAGCCTTCTATGACGAGGTCGGCAACTTTGCCCGAGACTCCGGGTGAGTAAAAAGATCCAACGGCCGACGAATCAGGGCCCTGTTTCACAAAACGTTTTGTCTATAACAAGTGTCACAATTCGATATTACAAATTTGCTCTCATCCAATCAGATTCACAGGTTTTAGTAGTGTATGATATTTATTGTGAATTGTTGTTGATATCAAGTTTTGTGAAATGAGACTCTGGCTAGTGGCTTTTCATGTACCATTTAGTTTGTACTGCTATTTTGGTCATGTATCAGTATTTAACATTTAGAATTAATTGAGAGAACAAATATAATGTACTGTTAAGGCATTTCAATCTTTTTTTTTATATAGTTTATAGCAACCAAAGCCTAAAACAAAATAAAGTTTACAAAAGACTTTGAAAATACAGTACATTGAAAATTGGTTTGATAAAATACTGTAATATGCGCTGTAATATACAAAATAGGAATAACTAAAAAAAAAATTAACATGTAAATGGAAAAAGACAGGGAAATAAAAAGGACAGCAAAGATAAAGCTTGAAATAGAAGAAGTATGACCTGTTACATGTAATAAAGCTAGGGTAATAATTTCCAAAGCTCTTTGGGGGCGCATAGAGATGAGATGTTATTTCATAACGTATTATGCGCTATATAAGAACTGAATATTATTATTATTATGTATAAACTTTTGTTTGTTGGGTCTTTCCAGTGTATGTGTATCAGTACTAACGCTAGAAGGAGAGGACTGTAGGGCTATTGAGCTCGGGAGTGTAGCGGACAAGACAAGAGGACAGGTAGGTCATTCAGTTTAAAGCCTATCTGCACTTGTTTGGCCAGGAGGAATTAGACCTCCCTGGTGGTTATCTCATCAAATCAGCTCTCAATTACATGTAACATAAGAAAAAGGGGACCATGGGGGATCAACGGGTACCGCTTAGGCATTGTTTGGCTGTATAGAGGGCGCAAGTAGCTACAAGTAGTGCAGTCCCACTTTAAAGGGAAATCTAGCCTTGATAGCAAACTTGTCTAGAGGAATGCAGAAAATCAGAGAAGATTGGTGAAAGGTTGAATGAAATAGGACAAAAAATTAGAAAGGTTATTAATTTTTTGAAAATTGAAATAACTATAGGTTCCATGGCAAGGGTCATACAAATTTTGATGATGAACATCTTCAAAATGGTATCTCAAGCTTTCCAGTGGATGAAAAAGCCCAATCGTTTAACAGTAACATTGGCACATTGGGTGGATTCCACACAAAAAAATTCATATTTATATTGATATTGAGTAATTCTATTTACAGGTACGTGCCAAGTTTCAAAATATTTTGTTGCTCCATGGCAAGAAAAGATGGGGAGTAACCCCACCCCCCCCCCCCTCCAACTGCCTTTTAAAGGGGGGTCAACATTCAATACTGGCTGGCATTGGTTATTGAAATATTGCTCAAGAATTACCACAAAAAAATGATGTCATGGTCCCATGTACTATATTTCACGCAGGTGAGCATCGTTCAACCCAATGATCTCAACCAGCAGTTTGCAGACATTCTAGCAGACCCAGTCCTAGCAACCAATGTTTCAGCTAAGATGGTCCTCCACAAAGGCCTGTAAGTATCTCCTATTCTTAAAAATGATACTGATTTATACTCTGCAACTTGTCTTATTTGAAGTCAAGGACCATTTTTAATAAGTTTGATAGAGTCTTGCGTAGTGCATGTTTAAGGAATTTGTGTTTTTAATCGGTAATTACTTGATTAAATTCTGAAAATCTTATTCATGTTAGTGAAGGTATGTTCATTTTCAAATTATTATTATCTTATATCACAGGGAATAGGCACTTATTGTTGGTGCTTTTGCCAATTTCTCTCTGAAGCACACATATATGCAGACAGATTTGCCCAAACATTAACCAATGGCTTGTCTCCATATTCCAGATTATTATTACTCTTCTAGGGACCAGGGAAAATACAGCTTTAACCAAAATAAAATCGTATACAAGAGGTTATTACGGACCATGGTCTAAATTCTGAGGTAGAAGAACACAAACAAAATTTTCAAACCTGACTGAATTTTGTCTTTAATTATTATTCCATCAGGTTTTTGAAGGATGGTGAGAGCGACAACCCAGAAAGCCAAGCAACCCATAACGTTGGGCTTGTGACAGCCGACTCAGAGACTACTTTTGAGTTTGGAGTGAGGAGAAAAGAAGGTAAGGTGAAATGCTGGAAATCAAAACATTGAAATCTGTTAAAAATTATATTACGACTCGTCTACCTCGACACGACTTAAAGAACCAGACTAGGTGTAAATAGTCAAAATTGACTGAACGCCACAAATACAACCAACAACAACATTGAAATCTGTCTAGGAGAGTACGCATACAGTGGATATTTCCAGATTTGCATGTGACCTTAGTAGGACTTTCCCCCCCTCCCCCAGCTAAGCTTTTGATAACTTCACAAAATTGAGCATTTATGGATTTTGTGCCTGCCTCATCCACCCCCCCCCCCCATGAAATGGTGAAAAGGAAAAAGAAAATTGAATTTTAAAAAAGAAATAGAAAGAGAGAGAGAAAGAGAAAGAGAAAGGAGAGAATGGTTAACATAAAAGAAAATAATTTGACCCCCCCCCCTCTCCTCACCTATTAAAACGGCCTCATTTTCTGACATTTGAGCCATCTAACATTTCCTGTGCCCCCCTCCCCCTCCCCCCCCCCCCCCAACCTGCCCCTTTAATGTAGCACTCCTTAAGTGGCTCGGGTTGTTTATCGAAACCTTTGTAAGTCTAAATTCTTGGACATCCCATAGAATCACACATTTCTATGGGATGTCCACGAACTTAGATTCATGATGGTTTTGTGTATGACCTCAGGACCCATAGGCTAGGCTACTGTCATTGATAATTAATGTCTTGTTTCATTTGTTTATACAGTGTTATATGACAACTTTGGTGGAACTACAGTTGTGGAGAGAGTGGAGGGTAAGTCGTTGTTTAAAATATTAATCTTCTTCTTCTTCTGTTAAAGGCATCGTTTAACAATGTTAAATCTGAGATGCATGGCCCTACCTGTTATCAGTGTCTGTGATATGGTGTAATATTGAAGCCCCCAAAAATGCGCCTCAAAATGATCGTGAAGTGCCTCAAAAAAGTAAAAATCTTTGAGTGACCGGTTTTATCATAATCATTTTCCCCAATAGACTATAAATAAAAACCATTAGGAAAGGTTTGACTGTACAGGTGCAGACACCTCAAATGATACTGACCGGTAGTAATAATGAGTAATTAAATTAACAAGTCCGTAACTACAAAATTAACTATAAAGGGAAAAAAGGGGGATGCCAACAGAGACAAGAATGGGACAAGACAAAGATAGAAGAACACTTTCATAATACAAAGAGTAGACAATGCGAGGAATCAAGAGTACAGAAAATAATTATAATTTACTACTTTACGCACCTCATTTTGTTTGGTCCCCTCAGAAGAGCCGATCTACGAGAGCGTGGCCCAGACCATGATTGAAGGTCTAGAGAAGCTGCCGTTCCAGGTCCAGATCCGCTACACAGGCCGTGATGGTCTGGACTACCAGAGGATCCTAACCATGGATAGGCCTGTCACCAAGGATAGGAAGTTTGCAGAACAAAGTGAGCACTCAAACTCGTTTAATTCTTTTCTTAATTTGGCAATATTGATAATTGATGATATTGAAAATACATGATCATACAAAATTATAAAAAATTATTGTAATTCAATCCTTATCTTAATTTGGCAATAATGATAACTGATAAGTAATTCAAGAATTGGAAGTTTGCTGAACAGAGCAAACACGGAAAACTCATTTTATCCATTTGATTTGGCAATATTGATAACTGATCATATCGATAATGAATAATCATGATGAATAAGAAATAATGGTATTTTTTTTCTTCTGATAATTCATTCAATCTTAATCCCTATCCTAAATTGGCAATAATGGTAACTGATGATATTGATAATAAAGAGTCATAATAAATAACTAAAAATAATTTTTGCCTGAAAAGTAATTGAAGGATGAGAAGTTTGCTGAACAGAGCGAGCACTCAAACTCATATCATCATCTTCCTGTGGGCCATTGATAATCCTTAAATTGGCCACAGTGAAAAGTTATGATTTTTGTCTAATAAATGCACTCAAATGTAGGAAGTTTTAAGAACAAAGTGAGTCCCCAAACTTAAGTGATTTTGTGTCTAATAATCCAAAGAAGAAAAGAAATTTTGTAGAACAGAGTATTCCCTCAAATATTCTTCAATCTTTTTCTTTTGGGCTACTGCTAATCTTCAAATTGGCAACATTGTGGTAATAATACCAAATAAATTAATTAATGAAGTAATAAATAAATTTTCATTTATCTGCAACTCAGATGCCAATGTTGGTGTGATTGGAGCCCATGCGGCTCAGTCTGCAGCCAAGCTGGCTGTAGAGGGCGCCTATGCCGAAGCACAAATCAATGCCATCATCACTCAGAAGCTTGTACAGAGATGCACGTGAGTGAATAGGATTGTATAATGATTTGATTTGACATTTAAAAATTATTAGCAACATACAAGAAAACCATTTGTTATGTTCTCTGCCAATTTTGGATCTTTATCATATGTAAGCACTATTAAATTTTAAATGCTATGAGTGAATTGGATTATAACGATTTGACTAGACTTGATTTGGCGCAAATCTGGCTGAAAAATAAACATTATTAACTCCATACAAGAAGACCATTTTGATTTCCTCTGCAAACTTTTGAGGTTATCAAATGTATTTAATAAAGCACTATTAAATTTGAAATGTTGTGCTAAAAAAAAAGGTGAATAGGATTATAATGATTCAACTTGACTTGACTTGACTTGACTTAAACTTGACTGAAAAAAATTAGCAACATACAAAAAGACCATTTTTTAAATATTTTCTGCAAACTTTTGTTGATAATATATATTTAACCCTTACAGAACCACTATTACATTTGAAATGTGCTTTAAAAAATGTACTTACATGTATTCACTTAATATTTTGCTTTAATTGTAAAATTATTTTTTTGTTGCTAGGCAACCAGAGGAAGGTCAAGAGCCGGAGCAGGAGGGCATCTATCAAACGTTCTTAGCCAACATGGCTCCTATCAATTCTGAAATTACTCGTGCTCATCAGGTAAGAATAATCAGCTTCTTTAATTAGTTGAGAATTTTCTAAAAGTCTGAAATGATTCAACTTGGCATCTTTCAATTGGCACCAATTGTGAACTGAATACTCCCCAGGGAGCAGAGCATGTGCATTATAATGTGCAGGTTAGTAATTGAATCCAATGACCGAGGCAATAATAATTGCAAGGTAAAGCGCATAGAAATGTACTATCAAGCGCTATAAAAATGTGACCATTATTATTATTCTCATCTTTTACTTTTAATTAGTTCAAGAAACATCAAAATTGAGAGACTTTAGTGCTTTAATTTTTTGTTTTAGTTTTTCTTATTCTTATTCTTGAGTGGCTTAATATATTGCAACAGGAATGAACAACGACACTGATATTACATGTAGCTCTCTCTGCTCACGTCACATGTAATTAATATTGTTGAATGTATTTTTTACGAGAATTGGAAATAAAATCAATGAAATTAAAGAATGAAAAGAATGCTTTGAGCTGCTTGGAGCCAATTTGGATCACTGATGTTATATTCAGAGCCCTCAAATATACTGTAAACCAAAAAGACATTTGCGACATGACAAGTTTGCGAATGTCGGTCCTGGCAGCTAGAAACTTTCATAAATATCAAATATTTCAAGTTGTCTTATAATCTAATCTAATCTTGTCTGCCGGTACTCATTATGCTTGATAGAAATTGATTTGATCTGGTATTGTGCAGTTGTGATATGAATAGCATTTTAATAGGTTTATTAACTGCTCTGTACTCAATTCATGTTGTATTGCATGTACATGTTGTATAGTTGTGTTTAATAGCACATAGGAATAATAATATTCTGTCCACTTTATATAATTTGTTGTAATGTTACGTCACCTCACTTGTAAAAAATGGGGGAATATTTGCATTTTACAAATGTATCTTAATGATACTGACATAAATTTTGAGTTTGGACAAGTTCACATATGCATATATACTCATTTTGATATTTTTTTTTTTAACACCACAAACTGCTTTTTGAATAACACAGCTTTATTTGTTTATTAAACAAATTGTGCGGGTTTGTTCAATGTTTTCTAATCTATTTCTCTATAGATTGATATTTTAATCTCATTTTTTCTTGTATGATTGCATTTGAGCATTTTTAAGAGTGTACAGTGTCCTATTGTAATCATATATTTCTTTTAACCTTTTTTCCTTTAACAATTTTTTTTTCCTGCATGACCTTTGGCCTATTAACCTTTTGACCTCGTGAACTGTTGACCTCAACAGCAAGAGTGGGATGCTGGTGAATACATGGAGGTAACTAACAACATGCTATAACATTTTTTTAAAATAATTTTCAATATGCTATAATCTAATTTGAATAGTGTGCTGGACAAAGGCCTACTAATGATAATGATAGTCGTGCATTTTTCAATTTATTAGTAAGTTTTCTTAGAACATTATATGCACATTCATCTACGAATATGTATGCAATTGAAATCTGGTTATTCTCATCTGTAACTGTAGCAAATATACTGCTGAATTATTGCATATATATTTAACCCATCTTTTGAACAAACCTTTAAAGTTCCTTGTCCTTCTTTTGAATGATGTTGAGACAATTGCTAGGAAAAATATGAGCTTTGTTTCATTTAAGATATGTTGTCTCATCTCTTAGAATAATTTGTTAAAAGTTAAATTTGAAAAAGTTTTGCATTTCTTATTATATACTTCTAAAAACTACTGGGGTAATGATGGTTTGTTTGTTTTATTTGACCGCTGAGAAATCATGTGTTTGCTTGTAAGTGAGCAACCAGGGGACCAAAATATTTAAGTCCTCTCCGAGGAGGGTCTAAGTAATGAGGACTAAAACTAAAGCCTTACCGAGAGCCAGTATCCCATCGACTTGGTTTTGGACCCAGGATTTTCCAGTTAAGAGACCAATGCTCTACCACTGAGCCATCATGCCTCCTCTTACTGTATAACTGTTACTGCAAATAGACCTGTGTACGAACATGTTCAAATTGTATCCACATTTTGTAAACAAAGGTTGTTCTTGACACCTTGAAAGCTTGCCCAAGGCTTGTCCGACGTAGCAACAATTAATGTACGCAGAAGTCGCAGACTGGATTCTGACTATTGTAGTTCATTCATTAATAACAGATTAATGGAATAACTCACATCACTAGGTCCCTAGGAAAGAAACATCCATAAATTTGAATATGTTAGTCAACTGGTCTATTGGGATAAATCAAACATGAAATGAAGTTTAAATGAAAAATGATATTTCATTCTTTGTTTGTTTTAATAATAGCTTGAAACAAGGAGCGAGGAAGAGAGCGATGAGGATGACGTTCCCTTGGTAACCAAGAACAAGAAGAAGATGAGCAAGAAGGTGAATAATGAGTTGTATTGTTAACCCTACGTTAACTGGGGGGGGGTCAATTTGACCCCCCCCTGTAGAAATTTCGCGACTACTCCGAAACCGCGGCAGATATAAAATTTTCCTTTCATGACTTTTTACTTTCGAGTCTTACGCATCTTTTAAAACGATTTTTTTGAAAATCGGACCTACGGTTACAAGGTCACGTGACCTTTTGTCTTTGCATGTCAGCCCGAAAATCGCTCATTTTCGTGATTTGTGTACAAAACATATGTAAAAGTCATTTTTCCTAAAAATAGATAAAACATTGGTTATTCAGTCTTGTTTAAAGTTTAGATGTTTGGTTTGGGGTCAAAATAGTTGAATTGTAGTTATAAATGAAATAAAACAACAAAAACAATAAAATACATAAGTTAAAAAAACAATGAAATACATAAGAAATTATAAAAACAAGAGATAACATAAGGAATAACCTGGCTCTTCCAATTTTTTGTGTTGTATTATTATTCCAAATGGTCTAATAAATATATGTAGTGAAAAAGAATACATAAACATGAATAATCTATGATTTATGGGCAGAAATGTGAATTTGATGACCTTATTTGCATAAATTACTATAAATATGCAAATGAGTGAATTTTTAAAAAATTTGAAATTACCATAGTATTCTATACACTTCACTTGACATGCATGCAAATTTTCGCGGCGATCGGCGGTGAAACGGCCGAGATCTTAGGGGGGGGTCAAATTGACCCCCCCCCAGTAAAAACCTGGTCTGAAATAGCCCAGTTAAAATAGGGTTAAGGTCGTAGGTCATACAGTCACAGGGTGAAAGGTCACCCGATAGTAAAACGGATGTTAATGTCCCTGCTTTATCATCAGGTCATAGAGTCAAAGGTCACCTGATAGTAAAAAGGATTTTAAAGTCACTACCACGCAAACATTGTGGCATGGCTTTGGCAATTGAGGGTGAACATCTGTCAAGATGCTGTTCTGCAAAGGTACCAGACATGATTAACATTTTGCGCTATTTTTCTAGTCCTGTTTATCCAGTCAAGATCTTTGTTAAACATGCATTTATTATTGTTATTATTGTTATATTAATGTATTTGACCATTTGGATAATAAAACCTCAAAAATACACCCCCAAAACAGAAAAAAAAATTAGTTTCTCTCAGAATTTAGCATTGATGAAACCATGTTTCATTGCCTCTCGTTCGATTGCCTCTATTTATTGTTACACATTTCATTTGGATAGTTGTTTTGTTGTATTCTGTATTCTGTGTATCATTATGCAATATTTGTATTCTTTATTATGTATCATTATCATGACATGTTAATGTGTTTTACTCTCATACCCCAGAAGGGGGTCGCAATTAAGAGTCGATGATTTCTATTCTATTCTCTTTCGATATTTATTTTACAGATGAAGAATCGTCGCAAGAACGTTTCCGACCGGCAGGCCAGTGTCTTCTATAGGATGAAGGGAGCCACAACAAAGATGTTCAATAAACAGACCTACGACATGGCAGAGGTGGTATAGTTGTGACCTGCTGGGAACGGGTCCTGTGTAGAATATCAGGAGACAATCACATATGGCGTGAACCCTCCTTTTACTGGCAATTTCTATCAATTTAGTGGGAACAAGGATTTATGTCTGTCAGTCTACCGGGGGGTCGTTTCACAAAGATCCTAAGTCAAAGTTAACTCTAAGTTGGACTTAAATATTATGGAGAGCCATTTGTAGCTTTAAAATGACTCTGTAAAGTTGTCTCAGATTCTGAAATCCTGGATTTAGCTCATGCTGCAATCATAATATAAACCTTTAGGTCAGTCAGGAATCCAATGACTTTTACAAGCCGATCACCTGTCTGATTATCAAGATATTTTCGATTGGAATTCGAAATTTAAAAAAATGTTCCCCCGATGGTTTTAATAACACTACAGTCTATTGGGGACAATGAGTGTGGTATACCCGGTCAAGATTTTTACTTTTTTTGAGCACTTCATGATCATTTTGAAGCGCAATTTTTTAGGGCTTCTATATTACACCATATCACAGACACTGATAACACATAGGGCCTTGTATCTCAGATTTGTAAAACTGGAAACATTGTCTTTCAGTTAGCCTTGACCATGTTATCATGTACAAGACAACTCAGCAACAGTTTATCTTCCTTTTTTTTCAAGAGAGTGTTTATATTAAAGAATATATTTGTTGTGTACATGTACATGCATTCATGTTAGTGTGTCAAAGATGTATTTGTCAGTCATTGTGATAACATTTGCTTTCAATAGGGTCAAAGAAATCTTCAAGACATCTACAGTAAGTTTATACAATGACAGTGTCCCATTTTCCATGAAGGGATGCGAGTGCCTTGTTCTGAAATTGTTTGAAAGAATGCCTCAATAGTCTTCTTTATATAAAAATGTATTCATGTGCTTGTGTTAAATTTGTATTGTCTCGCATTGTGACATTGCTTGCATTTAAAAAATATATGTCATTGCCTTGTTATGAAATGGAAATAAATGCTTCAAACTTTGTCTTTGAATTCAATTTCATGTGATCAAAGATTATGAGAAGAAAAAAAATTGAAATATTTGGATGATAATAATATAAAGTGGCCTTAAATAATGAAATTTTAATAATCAGGATTCTGTGTACCCTAATTGAAAATATCACCTTTGAATTTATATTTTTCAAATTGAAAATTTTAATGTGAAAACGAATATCATTATTTATTGTATCGCATGTATATAAAGCAACGGATAACAATTCCGACGTGAAATCATTTGGATTATGATTGTTACATTTTATTTTGTACAAATGTATTTAAAACAATGACATTCCTTATCAACATCTGCTGATCTGTAGTATTCAACATGTATATTATGAACATGAAAAACAATGCTTAGGATCATTATTATTGTTTGTATTAAGTATAACAAGTATTTGAAGGTATTCCTGATTTTGATAATGGAAATGGCAACAATTTGTACAATTTTGGCAAAGTTAGCCAGTGCACGCATGTAATATTAGAGTGCCTTGTGTTGTGATGTGAGTACTGTAAGAAGCTAAATTTATTACTATTATTATTATTATTATCATAATATTGTTAAATTGATCAAAAGTTATAAAATCAGTACTGCCAAATCGACCTGTTTACTAAAGTTTTCAATTAACGCATGTACAGGTTCACCGACATCCAATTGAGACACTGGTCAATTGTAATAGGTGTTTAGATGAGTTAATTGTTGGCGAACTTGTACTATGTCGGGCAAACCTCTGGCAAACTTTTTAGGTGTCAAGAGAAATTGTTCAAAATGTATAGATTAACATCAGGGAACAGGTCTATTCCCTTTACCTCTTAATAATTTATCAGTACTAAATAAATTGTTACAAAAATCATGTAATTTGCATAATTTTATATTTACTTTTCCATTTCTTTATCGTATTATTATGTACGAAGGTGATTTTGAGAAAAGTTGAAATACTATGTATCTAATATACATGTACAATGTGTTTATATATGTTTTTAGTTGCGCCGCTCCCAAACTTTGGAATAACCTTCCACTAGACATAAGAAAAGCCTTATATGTTTAATACCGTCTTCGACTTTTGTTGAAGACGCACTTGTTTTCGGTAGCTTTTCAATATTTTTTGTTTCTGTGTGTCTCAAAAGTAGCACTGTTTAAGGATGTTGCTTTCATCACAGCGCAGTAGAGTATATTTGTTGTAGTAGCTGCGCTATAAACATTTATCTAATTATTACTATCATATTTCACTTCAAATTATTTACGAAGAGCAAGGCAAGAAAGAGGGCTTTAGCAAAGCTGAAATATGTCACCTTCAAAAGTGTTTCTTGCATTAGACCTGTAGAGATAAATACTAACTTTTCTTCTTCTAATCTTATTGTTTATTTTCAGTGCTTTTTAGCCTGTTAGCCAAGTGCCTTTTTTGTAACATGCATGCTAGATCATCTATGTTCATGTTAACTCTTTTTGATTTAGTACTCATAATCTAATGTATATGATGTTTAACACTGGTTGTTGATATAGCTATGATATATGTAAGAAATGTAATGTCATCTGAATTGATCTCTAAAAGTACTATGTAATTTTACTTTTTTGGTGGTATCATTTGGGGCTTAATTCGTTAACATTTTATTTGATTTCATTTATTATGAGATATTGTTGGATTATGTACTTTGTAATACTATGTAGTACTAAATATATTGAGAGTACTTTTTTATATCTATGGCGCTCCATTAGCTAATATTTTATAACAGGTTTTATTCCATTTACCACTTTAAAGGTATATAAAGGAATGTGTAAAGAAAACTATATGGAAAAGCCCTTATAAAAGGAAAAACTATATATGGTTTGAAAACAGAGTTATATGGCATTTAGTCTTTCTTAATAATCAAAATGTATTCATATTTCTATTTTATGGAAAATTTATCAATTCAAATGAATGTTACAGCTCATTAGGATATGCATAAATACAGAATTTATTTGCTGGTTCATATGAATGCAAATGTCAGTAAATTTCCACAAGTTTCCAGGCATTCCAAGATATACTGATTATCAACATTCTGTATTTTATATTTTATGTTACTTTTGTTTATGGTTTTATTTGGTAGTATTTTAACTATATTTGTAGCTCGATTCTAATAGTGTATTCCTTCTGATCTTCATGTCTTTCAAAGCTAAATCAATTCAAAACGAAATAAATTATTTTATTAATCACAATCTCGTTTTTTTGAAAATTTTTTAAAGGTTACATACCGACCCATTCATCGACCCGCCCATTGAATTGTAGAACTACCCACTGACCAATCCACACACGGACCTACCCAATGACATCCTGACTGACACGTCAACAAATACAATGGCTGATACAATGACCGACACACTTCCGACCAACGGACATTTCAACCGACACAATTCCAGACACATCGACAGACATGGACAGACACACTGACTCAAGCACACACTGACTGACCGACAAACCAACTTGACTCTCTGACAAAAACCGATCCACACATAATACAACTGATCGACCAACAAAACAGCAGATGAAACCACCAATTAACCACCAATTAACCAGGTTTGTTGATGTCAGTGGTTAGGGTGTCGTTGAGTGTGTTTTAGGGTCAAGATGTTAGACAGTATGTCGAGTGGCTTGAAGCTCGATGTCGGATCGGTTGGTGGGTCAGTCAGTGTGTCCATTACTATGTGTGTTAGTCGGTGGTTGCGTTAGGATGCTGGTTCAGTGTCGTTGGGTCTGTGTTGGTCATGCCTCGGTCATTCAAGCAACAACAAACCAACCGACCCACCTTCTTCTCGACCTCTACTCTACAAACCTACATGAACAATGCCTCAAACCGAAAATGATGGTGTACATGTATGCAAAAAATTTTAATAGATTTTCTTCATTGGATTATTTATATTTACTCACAAAGTATTTCACATTTAAACAAGCATCTGTTACAAATTCTTTCCTCTTCAACTGCCCTTAGTACTTTAAACATGCAAAACACAGATGTAATGATGGAAACCATCACCGTCGGTAAAGAATATCAGTTGGGTCCAAGTTCTTGCAGCACAAATGGTTTCCTAATTTCAAGGGAGAAATACAAGTCACTAAGATCATGCAAGACCAAGTGTATTTCTACCCACACAAAGAACATACATTTCAAATAAAAACCTTATTTTTGTCATGCATCTCGAAAAAACATGAGGATTGAAAAGAAAGAAGTATAGACTTTGCGGTTAAAATCTGTCACCAAATGCAGATTATGACTTGGTTGGGACCAAATGCAACAATTTCTCACTGAGAAATCAAACTATATGTACACATACAGTTGAATCTGCTTAAGCAACCACCTGTAAAGAAAGACCACCTTTATAGATGGATCACTTTTTGGGGGGGTTTCCTTTGAAAATGATTTCTCATCGAAACCTGTACTATTAAAAGCGAACCTGTACATAAAGACCACCTGCCAAAAGCAAACACTTTTCTTGTCTTCCTTGGGTGGTCATTATGCACAGGTTTCACTGTCATTACACGCATCCAGCCTTTAGATTCTGCACATATAGAGGGCACGAGAGTATAGAGAAATAGGTTTGTACATAAAACCCTAGAACTGGTCAAGATGGTATCAAAATCAAAATAACCACAAATGCGAGGTTCCTTTTATCTCAACTCTTTCCACTATCATACATGTGAATTTATCTTACTGTACTCTACTACATAAAGAGATTGATAAATGTCTAAATAACAAAATCACTGTAATTAGACGCTATCGAAATAAGTGTGTTTACAATGTCAATCAAACGAACTTTAAAAGCAGTGATCTTGAATAAGTACACCTATTCACCAAAATAAGAGCATAAAAATAACATTGATTTCAGGAAGAAAAAAAAGGCATCTACATGTATATCAAATTAAACTAAAGTACAAGGATACTATCACTAAAGAGATTTATATGTTTTCAACATAATTTTTCAAACGGCCATTTGACATATATCGTATAGAAGCTGCATGTATACAGGTACTCTGTACATATAAAATAATTTATGACAATTTATGGATTGGTGCCTTTATATGTTTGAACGGCCAAATTCTCCTCAATATTCTATTGCATTGATCTTGCATGCATTACAGGAAAGGCGAGGTATTAACCATTGGACAATACAACACAATCACATGAAATATAACAATATGACACATCAACTGTCGCTCTGTTTCAAAGTATATCACTTTAACAGTTTTCATGTAATTCTTTTTTCAATTCTTGAAAACAAACCACACTCTGGGTATAGAGTTAATGTACGTACTAAATTTAACCTTTGGCGTCCAAAGTGTTTAAATCATAAAAAAATATCTTAAAAACATTGAAGGATACTATAGACTATCCAATCACGAAAGGGAAGCTTGTATAAGTAGTTAATTCATCCCCTAGAACCGTCGGTCCTCTGGTTGCTTACTTACAAGCATTTATGCTTTCTTAGCAGTCACGTAAAACAACCACCACCACAAAATGCAAATGAAATTGCTGAAGGAATAAGCAATAGATCAGTTTACAAATATATAATAAATTCTACAAATGCATCTTCAAATAAACTTTCGCATTCACTTCGTGAAGAGTAATGATAATGTCATAGCAGGAAGGCTGTTGACGGTTGGTGCTATGTTGGGCATTGCTCGGGCAAAACTCAAATCAAGAGTGACCACAGAAGAATATACGCATACAAATTGAATACCTATGTGTACTGGTCTAATATTGAACGGAACAGAATCTGACTCATGGAGTCTCATTACGATCACTAATTCTTATTTCGTACAGATACCACAAGGAGAAATTCTTCATTGAAACATGCACGACGATTATCTTGAACAATCGATACAAAATATTGCGAAAATGTAAAGCCTAGCTTTGCTTCATTATACAAAAATCAGGAAGCGAAGAGAGGGATCGAAGATCACATCAAGAAAAATAGACACACTTTCATCATGATTTCATCACGGATGAAACTAAACTTCAGGGGGTTGTTTCACAAAACTTGTCATCAGTGACAAATGACAGTTTTTGTTATAAGCTACTGAAATCCTTGCTTTCGATTGGTTATCAGCAGATTTGACACTGATTTTTGTCATTTGTCATTGAAAAGAGGCTTTGTGAAACGAGCCCCTGGAGGAGAGGGAGAAAGGGCTCTAAAGAGATGGGAGATGGGGAGGGGCTCCGGTAGGTGGGGGGTGAGATGGGGGAGGGACTCCGGTAGGTGGAGCGTGAGATGGGATCTAGTCTAAAGGAGTGACTGGCTCTGGTTGGAAGACGACCATCTTCGCATTGTAACGTCTGAAGAAGAGGCTGGAGCCACGCTTGAGAAGACCCTGCAAAAACAAAAGAAACAAGAAATAATCTTCTTAAAAATCACGAATTGTAAAGAATTGCCATATTCACAGTAGGGAGGCTTTGCGAATCGAACAAATTCATTAGTATGTCAGCCTTGATTCATTTTTTTGCAGCATGAAGCTTTCAAGAATCTGAAACAATCAAACAAATTTCCAAAGTTTCTAGTTTTACTACAATGTTAAAAATTGAAGATAGAATAATCGCCATCAAAGTTTCGAATCTTACCCTGTTCCTGAGGTCTCTCCAACAGTCCACCCAGTTCATATACACAGGTACATAGGGAGCTGTGCCAGCTAACAATCTGGACAAAGAACAATATACATATTTTTTTTGTTTAGAGTATAATGTTTATATTATGAAAAGGATGATGAGAATGAGGACAATGGTGATGAGAACGATGACAATGGTGATAATGATGAGGAGGATCATGATGAAAATGATAAAGATTATGATGGTGGTTATGATATGACGACGGTGATGATGATGGCAGCGTTGATGATCACGATGGTGATGATGGTGGTGGTAGAAGTGATGATGTTGAAGGTAGTGATGATGATGATGATGATGATGATGATGATGATGATGATGATGTTGATGATGATGATGATGATGATGATGATGATGATGATGATGATGATAATAATGGTGGTGGAGGTGTACATAGATACATAGGGAGCTAAGCCAGCTACTAATTTATACAAGGAACAAATAATATTTGTTTTAATTATGAATAAAACCAATAATAATTACATTTATATTATGCACATATCATTCCCAGGGGATGCTCATGGTGCCTTTAAAGTACTATTATTAGCCTGGATTTAGCCACGCTGCCATAAGATGCTGAAAGCATTCAAAGAATAAATATATACCAGGTCCCCATTTACTACACCTGGGTGGAGAACAGCAAATGCAGATTATTTTCTTGCCCCAGTACACCAGTACCATGCAGGGGCTTGAACTCTAACTTTGCATCTCAAGTAAACTATGATACACCCAATTTTCATAATATACAATATTTTTGAATATGTATTCAAATTTCATGCATACTTCATGAACAAAAGGATCTCTTCCTGATCCGAAAGCTTGTTGGCTTGCCTGATATGGCAGCACCTAATACATGCAAGGTTGATTTCAGCTGTGCAAATCCTTATCACACACAACAAGCGGACTGAGTAGCATGTCCCAAAAGGTTCTTGATAGAAATTTTACTGAATAGGACTGAAGATTTTTTTTTTTTTTTTTTTCTCCATTTTTAAAAAAAAATTTACATACTGGGTACCCTTTATTTTTGTTCATATATTTTTTTTTTCTTAAACTTTTTTTTTTCTTTCTTTCTCTTTTCTTTAGGTTTTTTTTTTTTTGGGGGGGGGGGGGGGCACAACACCTGCAATTTTGTTAAGAAGGGGCTCAAATGTTTTAGATAAGGACTTACCCTGAGTTATTGAGGATGTAGTTACTACTGATGAGACTGAATGGATAGGTCAACATACCCAGAAGGGGCTCAAATGTTTTAGATAAGGACTTACCCTGAGTTATTGATGATGTAGTTACTACTGATGAGACTGAATGGATAGGTTAACATACCCAGAAGGGGCTCAAATGTTTTAGATAAGGACTTACCCTGAGTTATTGATGATGTAGTTACTACTGATGAGACTGAGTGGATAGGTCAACATACCCAGAAGGGGCTCAAATGTTTTAGATGAGGACTTACCCTGAGTTATTGACGATGTAGTTACTGCTGATGAGGCTGAATGGATAGGTCAGCATACTTGCTAGAAACTGAAAATAGACAAAAGTTTGAGATGAAATATGAACATAATGTTACAGATCACATACTAACAAAATAGAGACATTTTTGATAGATTGCATAAACATATATTTCTCAGGCATGTAACTTTTAATAGCCATGTAGAACATTGTTTTACTAGTAAGAGAACACAGGATGATATAGTGATTAAGAAAACAACAAATAATATTCTTAAGAAGGAAAGATATTTCACTTTGACCAATGTACATTAAGGATATATGGAAGTTTGACAATGATACTCATTAAAGAGGAGAACATTAGGTTTGATGTATAATGCAAAATATATTCTGTTGCTGTGTATGCAAATAAAAGTACAGCTTAATCATTTTTTACACCTTGTATGGTTTGAACTTTGTGTGTCGCCTTTTGGGGTGACACACAAGGGGTTGGGTTAAGGATTTGGGCCCAAACTTCCTTGGGTGACTCTCTTTTTTAAACAGATAAACAGGGTAGGGGGGGGGGGTACTCCATGGCCCCCTTGTGTCCACTGGCTATGCCTAGAAAAGATTGGTTCTTTGTAGCTAATTATTACTGTAGCATTATGACTGTATAAGACTTACTCCTTAGGCAGAGCCAGGGGATGGGGGGGGGGGCAGTGGTTCATGGCCCCCTTGTGCCACCCCCCCCCCCCCCCCTCTTCCACTCACTGGCTGTGCCTATGGCAAGGCAAGAAAAGAATTGTTCTCTGTAGCTAATTAGTTAATAAATAAGACTTACTCCTGTAATAATGTTTGCATAGCTCCGGAGCTCAGATACATTTGTCATCTAGGAAAGAATGAAAAAGGATGAGAATAAAAATAAACACAGCAAAAGAAGAAATGATTACCAGATGCATTTAAAGCACAATGAGCATACATTTCTTCACACTTTCCAATTTTGTTGCATAACACAGAGGCAATTGACAACAGTAATTTGGTTGCTAATTTGAATGAAGAAAAAAAGAAAGCTGGATCTCATGGATGTCAGAACTTGAAATTAAATTGAAGGTTTTCTTTCCTTTCAGCATGACATATCATCCTGAAAACATTTATACAACTCATTATTTATTGAGGAATGACAAAATAAAACAAAAATTTACGTGTTTCAAATTTGAAAGAAGCAAAAAAGAAAAGCTGGATCCCATGGATGTTAGGACTTACATTGCCGTCTACAACGAGTCTGTTAAATGAATATATTCAGACTTTTCAACATGATCTATCATCCAGAAACATTTATACTACTAATTATTCATGGAGGAATGAAAAATTAAAACAAAAATGTATGTGTTGCCAATTTGAAAGAAGAGAAGAAAAAAAAAGAAGAAAAAAAAAGGGCGGAACCCTATGGATGTTAGGACTTACATTCTCGTCTACAACGAGTCTGTTAAATGAGTAGTACATCGTCCTTGCAAGCCACAAGGTCATTAGATCGAGTAGTAGTCTAGGTGCCAGACCTCTGAAAAACACAACCATCATGAAAAGTACAGTATTAATGGGCCACTCTGATATATTTTTTATCAAAATGAAAGACTGCACAAATTTGCTGATCTTATGTCAATTTAATCATAATTTCACACTTAAATCCAGAGAAAATGTTGTCACTCGGTAATTTATATTCCTCTTTCCATTAATGATATCAGATTTTGACAATCTTACTGACTTTGTGGGATATGGAACTGTCTGTGAGTTGAAGTCACACACAAAGTATGGTCACTCCACCATATAAGTAGGCCTACTTCCACTATAACTTATACCAATGACATACTTTTTAAGGGAAACAGAAAATGTGGAGTGTATAGATGGATTGTGAAATGAATAAATAAAATCAATCAATCAATCAATTGTTCATTCATACAGGTGGTTGCTTAAGCAGGTTTAATGGTACTCAAGTTGATCTGGGTTTAAACCCGTGCAGGTTTTGATATTTAAAGGGAAAGTCCACCCCCAAAATAAGTTTGTTTCGATAGAGGCAGAATAATAAGAAAATCAGGTGAGTGAAAGTTTGAGCAAATTCTGAATGAAAATAAGAAAGTTATGAATTATTGAAGTTGTGATCAATCAAATACAAATTGGCAACTCTGTGACTTATTATACAAGCTCTCCTTCATTTGCTTTGTGCATAATATTCCATAAAATCATGTTTTCTTCGTTATTGATGACGGAATATATATTTGTTCCTTGCAGGGGGAGTATAGAAACATATTTGCAATTATTATATTTAGGGTGCATGTATGGTTGAAATTTTTCTTGAGGGAAAATGAAAATTTTAGATTTTTTTAGTACTGAGCAAATGGAAGTTGAGCTCGCATGATACGTCATAGAGTTGCCAATTTGTGTTTGATTGATCACAACTTCAAAAATCCTAACTTCCTTATTTTTAATCGGAATTTGCTCAAACTTTCACTGACTTGTTTCTCTCGTTTTTCTACTCCTATTAAAACTAACTTAATTTCAGGGTGGACTTCCCCTTTAATAATAATCCTAATATTTCACGTTTATATAGCCCTTAATACATCAACAATGTCTCTGAGCACTTTACTTATGTATGTACATGTATATGTATCATCACCCCGGTCATACGATTCAGGCTCGCCTGCACAAAATGTAGGCACATTCTCCACTCTCTGGGGAGCATTCAAGCCAGGCACCATTTTAAAGACGCTCACAATGCGATCATTTAACACCTGGGTGGAGAGTGGCAAATGTAGATTAAAACATCTTGCCAAAGGACGCTAGTATTGGGCTGGCATTTGAACCCTGTACCTTGTGATCTACAGTCTGGTGACTTATCCACTAGACCACAACACCCGTAGTACAATATGAGCTTAGTAAAATGTTGAGGTGAACTTACGTGAACAGTCCTCTGATTCCTGAATCATTGTATACTTCAAAGTAAGGAGAAATCCAGCCACTGATGAAAAAAGAAAAACAAAACAAAACAAGATGAATGTGACTGCATCTCTAGCATGCCCCTCGCCTGTATGCAGGCCTTAAATTTCGTCATTTTTAGGGCAAGGCCAGTTTGGCCTCGAGTACCTCATATTTTTAAGGGCACCAAGGCCAAAATATTTTTACAAAAAGGGCATTGAGGCCAAAATATTTTACAAAAAGGGCATCGAGTATGAGGCCAAAAAAATTGTTTCTACTTTTGTTAGATGTCATGTGTATTTTATGAAACTTGTGTGGGATCAATTTCCCATGACTTTTAGCACCAGCTTCTTCACAGAATGTATAGAGGTCTACGGTACATACAAACAAGGCGGCGGCCCGCAAGCCTTAGATTTAGCAGCCAGGAGCAAGGGGCAATTTTTTTTTTAAGTCGCCCTTTGCCACAGGAATTTACCAGAGCAAGGGGCAATTTTCCAAAAACAGATAGGCCCCTTATCTAATCATAAGTTCAAAGAGAGTTGTTAATTTCATAATGTGAATAGATCGAACGATCAATTTAATAACTTTTTAATCTTAACAATATGAACAGGAAAGATTGATTAAGAACATTAAACTTGCACATTAAACAGTATTCTAAAGTAACTAAAAATATTGATGAGCAAATGAATAAATAAATTGTCAATTTCACAAACATCGAAAGTCAGAAGGACTTGGCAAGTTTACCGGGCCGGGTATCCCAAATCAAAATCGCACCTCACACACAAACCTTCCGCCACTCTCTCGGTAGTAGGAGCAAATTTGAAGAAATTATCTTTTTAACTGTTGTATAGAAAGGTCTAGATAGGCCTAACTAATGAAATAAGATGTAAAAATGTCCTTATAGACATTCGACAGCTGAAAATGACACGCTCAGCTCAGTTGCGTAACGTGCATTCACGAAACCAAAATCGTTCCTCGCACACACACTCTCGCCACTTTTGGTGGGAAGCTGTCGGGCTGGAAGTTTGCCAGCGAAACCGATGCACCCTCGGAGACTCGCAGCGCGTAATTTTACCGGGACTCGAAACGTTCGTCTTGGGAGGCTGGCGGGGTAGCTTTTTGAAGCGAGGTCGGCTGGTGGCAAAATGAGAGTAATTACGATCGAGAACATCGTAGGTGTTCTTAACTTATTAATAAGATAATTCTAAATTCTATTTGAGATAAAATAATAAACTAGACCTACAAACAAATCTCGACAGATCTCTAATGACTATTTGAATGCTTGTTTATTTCTCCACTTGACGATTTGTTTTCTTGATCCTGCACCCTGGCCTTTGATTTGTACGTACGTACGTGCGTGCGTCAACAACATGCACCATATGCATATCATGCGATCGCATGAACGTACGTGCGCTAGCGCATTGCCTATATAATAACAAAGGGCGCATTTTCACGGCACTGGCGCCTTATTAAAGCACTAAATACGAAGCTAGAAGAGAGCTCGTGGGCGGTAAACTGTTCGTGATTCGTGTATTTTTTCTGTTCTAATAATTTATGGGCGCATTTTCACGGAAAACACTTGCGCCTTGCCGTCTAGTTTTAAGCGCAATTGGTGGTTTTATGTGCGCAAATTTAAAAAAAAAAGGGCACGTCCAGTTGGAAAAAAGGCACGTCGGCCAGTTTGAAAAAAAGGGCACGGCCTTTTTGGCCGTGAATTTATCTTTTTTTGGGAGGGCACCGCGGCCAGTCATAGGGGCATCGACGGCCTGGCCGTCGATGGCCGTCGATTAATTTAAGGCCTGTGTATGCATGTTCATTATTTGAATGACCCTGTCACATTCGACATCCTCACATCCTTTTCATTTAATCAGTTTGTGCCCATACATACATTACCTTAGCTCAATTTGGTCAATATTGCTCCAATTCTTTTCAAGTTATCGCGGTAACAGGGTATTTTCTCGTATTTGTCAACACTTCTTATGACCCCGTGACCTTTGGCCTTTGGCATAAAAATATGAATAAATTTTTTCCAAGGGAACCTACCCCTTCTGGCTGATAAGCCTGAATTTTTAGGGTTAAAGTTGACACTATTTATCAATTAATCCAGTGATACATCACTTTTTATACACACATGCTATTGACTGTATAACCTTTGACCTTTGACATAACCTGTACTGACCTGTACTTTGTTTCCTTGCCGATGAACTGAGCCATGCTTCTGATCATGATGACATTGAAGGGCTGGGACACGACAACAGCACATAGATGAGCTACTGAGTCCTTGGACATCTGGAGTGAAAAGAAAATAGCAATGGAATGATGAAAAACATCAGAGCAATATTCTTCATTGCTGTTACAATACATTGCTTTCAAAAAATATATATTTATAAATATATATACAATACATTGCTTTCAAAAAATATATATATTTCACTTTTCTTACTTTTGTTGTTTTGTTATCGAAATGCTAGCAAGAGTTAGAACCATTTTTTGTTTATGCATTGTTCCTACTATGTATTGTTATAAATTGTAACCCACTGAATTTTATTATCTGTAAACAATTATTTTACATGGTGAATAAATAAAACAAACAAACAAACAAATAGACATTTATAAATTAAAGTTAGAGCATTTATAACACAACTGAGAGAAATTCTAATACAACTGAGATGTATTTTGACAGAGAGAAAGCAGCAAATACCGGACGGGGCGTGAATCACCAGGCTAACAATGCAGACTAATCAAGATCAACAACTACATGTACCACAACTTCTACTTGAGATTGTATGTACGCACATGCTCCAGCAACGATTGCTCTGTAGTCGATATTCTACACTAATCATATTCGTAACCCTACCATACCATACCCTAACCCTACCCCTAAACCTAACATAAACCTACTTACAACCCTAACTCTAACCATACAACTTAAAGGTAAAGACCAGTTATGGTCATGCGATTGCATTGTGAAAGAAACGTTGTGGAATCGATCAGAAAAGGTTGATCATCTAGCATCTGCAAGGTTCTGGAATCATCAAAATAATAAGAAATTTGGCCCATTCTTTGTAAAGTTACAAGCACTATACACAGAAAGATGTATATGGGACTACCCTATATCTCTCACAGACCATGAGAGAAACAAATTTACCAAATATATGAATTAGTAGGCGGTTTCCCGGCAAATTTTTTATCATCATGTATTAGTCAAAACATATTCTTTCACGTGATTGGTAATGAGAGCTTCCATTTCATTTTTTGAAATTGCGGCGTTTCCAATACTGGTCTTTACCTTTAATGAAATGAAGCCAGAGCAATTGTCATTGCATACATGCCCTACTTGAAATTTGGTTACCTCTATGATTATGATGATGAAAAACAACAAGGTGATGATACCTGAAACATGAGGGTTGAAATAACATACTCATTCATCTTCACCACCATCCTCATCATCATCATCACCATTACCAAAAAATCATTATCATCATCATACTCATCATCATCACCATCACCATCACCATTATCATTATCATCATCACCTTCATCATCATCACTCTCATCATCATCATCATCATCATCATCATCATCATCATCATCATCATCATCATTATCATCATCATCATCATCACTAAAGACAAAGATACCGTACCTGAAGCATAAAAGTATGGAATGACACACTGGCCAACTCCGGTCTCTTCTTGGCAAGGGCTTTCTTTTCACTTTCATCTACAACAGGGAACAGCTCATCCATTTTCTGTTCAAAAGTAAAGAAAGAAAAAGGAAAAGAGATTTGCACAGATGTAGTGATTATGTGATTCAAATAGTATAAATTTCTTATTGTTGGTCCTATATATTTCAAAACTTTCACCATCATGTTTATTTTATTTTTCTGCTTTCATACAAATGGGACTCTCTAGAAAAGTTGGATTTCCCTTCACAGATCATTTTGATGTACATGTAAGTAAACAACCATCGGACCAACAACTTTAAATTCTCTCGAAGGGAAATGGTAATGAGGATTAATGCCTTACCAAAGGACAAGAGTTTTGATTTTGAACCCAGAACCTCCCAGTTAGGAGACCACTATTCTATCACTGAGCCACAGCCCCTCCTGTTTATCTTATTTTTCTGCGTTCATACAAATGGACTCTCTGCAAAGGTTGAATTTCCATTTACAAAATTGTATTGATCAAATACTTTGGTCATGTTAAAAGGCACCAAAGCCTCTTAAAGGCACACTGCCATACTTGTAGCTACTTGCTCCCTCTATATAGAAAACTTCCCCAATCGGTGCCTGTTGGTCCCCCATGATCCTCTTTTTCTTATGTTAAATGAGAGCTGAGTTAATGAGATAGCCACCTGTCACAGTGACCTCAATGGCTCTCTGTGTGGTCTAATCCCTTCTGGCCCAGTAGTGGTGACGGTCTTTAAAGGATGTATTGGAGGGAAGAGTGAAAGGAACTAGACCAAGAGGGAGACCCAGAATCAACTGGGAAGAGAATGTCAAGAACTGGAGTGGACTAAAACTGCAAGAGTGCACCAGAATGGCAGAAGATAGAGTGAAATGAAGAGATGTTGCAATCAACCTCCGAACCAGGAGAAGATGCTTAGATACAGATAGACATTGGTCAAATCAATTTTTTGCACAACATTTTTATCAAAAATTGGATCCTCACCTCAGAGACCGACCTCAGGACAGCACCTGAAATGAAGTTCTGGCACAGGGCAGGAAAGAAGCCCCGGTACAGGCCAGTGAAGCCCTCTACACTGTATATATGTCTTGCTGAGATAGAGAGAGAGAGAGAGAGAGAGGAGAAAAGCAGCAGAGAATTAGACACACAGTAGTAGGCATTGACATCATTTGGATGTTTACCCAATAACAGGAGTCAATAATCAAGATTAGCCATCATTTCATGTAACACTCTGCATTTTTCGACCCATTCCCCCATTTTGGTAAAGTTATTATCTTACAATTCCCTCACATGGAGGCTCTCTGAGATACTAAGGGGTATTTCTTGATGGGACTACGGGTTTGGTGTGTGCAAGACTTGTTCACCCATTAATGGTATTTCTACCAAGTCTGGTGTCAGCGAATTATGACCTACTGCACAGTGCACATGGAAACTGTCTACCTTTTAAGCTTTTACAAGAACACTGTGAACAGTACCCAATAGAATCCAGGGGGTTTCTTTCCCAGAAAAGAACCATCTCAAACCAGAGAAATTGTCTACGCTAGGTACATGTACATACATCCGGCTGTTGATGAAGAGCATATAAGAGCAAAGGAGAATAGTAGGCCATTTTCATAAAGTAACCCAATTCAATGTATATGTCTTTGTAAAAATGGATGAAAATATTGGTGTCAAAATGGCCAATTCAGAGACAATCGCAAAGATACATTGTAGAATTAATTTCTGGGCATTTTTAAAGTTATAAAGGACCAATGTTTAAAGTTTCTGGGAGGGGGGTGTTTCACAAAACTTTTCATCAGTGACAAATGACAGTTTTTGTTATAAGCTACTGAAATTGTGGTTATCAGCAGATTTGTCACTGATTTTTGTCATTTGTCATTGAAAAAAGGCTTTGTGAAACACCCCCCCAGATGTTCTTTTTCTCTCTTACCATAAGGAAGGAATCCTGGAAGCTGGTAGCATTCCCTGAAGAATGCATTCCTTCCTAAACGAGGAGGGAGAGGTTCATAACCAAGCTGCATTGAAGACAAAAAATGATAGTTCTATAAATTTAGATTTCAGCCTAAGGCATTTTTGCGATTCATGTGAATACAAAATGGTCATTCCATAAATATCAGACAGACATACCTGTACACACACAATAAGGATTTATGTCTCATTTTATTTTTATTTTCAGGTATGGTATGACATGTTGATTGGATTATCATATCACAATAAAGAGTGTAATCCATCATTTTAAGAAAGGGGAATAGAGGCAAAAAAGTGAGGATTTAGACATATATGACCAACAGAAATCATAATTTCTCTTTGATGTTGAATCAACGAAAGACAACATGTTATTCATATGTGCTATATTCGCTATGTTGAATCGACGATATACAACATGGGGGTCATTCCATGTCAAATCACCCGAAAAATCTGAAAATCTTAACCCTACCATTTTTGATTTTGATGAAACTTAGGTTACTTGTTGAGTGTGATCTCACAGCACCAAATCCAAAATTTTAGGTCAGTGGGGTGAGTGGTTTGGGAGATACGGCCCACCAAATTTTGAGATTTTTTCAAAAATGGGGGTGGCGGGCCTACCTTTGAACCCTTGTATCTCGGGACCTAATGGGTCAATCTTCACAAAATTTGTATTGTTTTAAAGGGTATTCAATAAGGATTCCAAATCTGCCGCCATTTTGAAGATTCGTACATGTGGGGTACTTTGACCTCTTGACCTCAGATTTGACCTTGAAATTGACCTTGTGGATCACGTAACTTTGACAACATTTTTCATGAAATGTAATCTCTGACATGTTCACTAAAACATGTAAAAGTTTCAGAGATATAATATTTTTTGTTTTGGAGTAATAAGGATTGAAAGTATTCATGCTCACAGATATTCACAATAAACCCTATTATACTGTATACAATACATGCAATATGCACAGTACAACTTACATCTTCCACATGTTTTTTTGTTTTAGTCACATCCATCCTAAATGTCAGCAGTACTTGAATAGAAATAAAATGACAAGTTCATATAGGCCTAAAGGGTTAACAGGATGTATGGCTTTAGACCTCTGAGTCGGTTCTAGGATAATTACCCCCTGGAAAATTCACCTCCGGAAAACTACCCTCTAAGGACAATTACCCCAGAGGTCTATTACCCCCCCCCCCCCCCCCCCCCCCATTCGTTAAAGTGGAAGTCCAACCTGATAATAAGGTGGTTTTAATCAAAGCAGATTTATTTTTTGGGGTATATTATTCTTGAGGGGTAATTTTCCCGGGGGGGGGGGGGGGGAGGGTAATTGTCCTAGGGGGAAATTGTCCGGGTGTTGATTGTCCTCGGGGGGGGGGGGGACAGATTGTCCTAGGAGGTAATTTTCTGGGGGGTAATAATCCTCTGGGTGTAGTAGTCCTTGGGGGGTAATTGTCCTCAGGGGGGGGGGGAATTTCCTGAGGGTTAATTTTCCAGGGGGGGTAATTATCCTAGAACCGACTCAGAGGCCTAAAGCCATACATCCTGTTAACCCTTTAGGCCTATATGAACTTGTCATTTTATTTCTATTCAAGTACTACTGACATTTAGGATGGATATGCCTAAAACAAAAAAGCATGTGGAAGATGTATGTTGTACTGTGCATATTGCATGTATTGTATACATTATAATAGGGTTTATTGTGAATATCTGTGAGCATGAATACTTTCAATCCTTATTGCTCCTAAACAAAAAATATTATATCTCTGAAACTTTTACATGTTTTAGTGAACATGTCAGAAATTACATTTCATGAAAAATGTTGTCAAAGTTACGTGATCCACAAGGTCAATTTCAAGGTCAAATCTGAGGTCAAGAGGTCAAAGTACCCCAACATGTACGAATCTTCAAAATGGCGGCAGAATTGGAATCCTTATTGAATACCCTTTCCAACAATACAAATTTTGTAAAGATTGACCCATTAGGTTCCGAGATACAAGGGTTCAAAGGTAGGCCCGCCACCCCCATTTTTGAAAAAATCTCAAAATTTGGTGGGCCGTATCTCCCAAACCCCTCACCCGATTGACCTAAAATTTTGGATTTGGTGCTGTGAGATCACACTCAACAAGTACACTAAGTTTCATCAAAATCAAAAATGGTCGGGTTAAAACCATTGGGTGATTTGACATGGAATGACCCATGGATGAATTGGTTTAGGACAAGGAATCACCCTTTTTCCCATGGAAGACATCTTCAAATTATAATTTCAAGTGGTTGAACGGATGCCCAGAAGAGTAAAAAAACATTGTAAGTCTAAGGTTTAATTACTATTTTTTTAGATTTCAAAAAAATAGGACCAAACCCGCTGATTGAATCATTTCCCGGTTAAGGATCTGGAGCTCTCACGCCTTTGGCAGTGGAGCTCCCTGGAGTTACTAAAAACAAAGATTAGTATAAAGTATAGGTCTACACTCTCTCACAGGTTTCACGGCAAACCGCTGCACAATTCAAGTGCATGCACACCGACTGTGGGTTGCAGGCGCAGACGGGCGAGCGCCTGCGTGAAGTTAGCGACTCTAAAGATCATCATCAATTCATAATGTGAAATACTTGCATGAATTTAATGAGGATCTGAAATTACAGTCGCTCACTTCACGCACGCGCGTGCGCAAGCATCCTGGCCCACTGTCGGTATAGATGTACAATTGTTGTATTTGTGCAGCGGTTTGCAGTGCAGTGAAACCTGCGAGAAATTGTATACTAAATTTTGAAGGCTTTGTTTTTACATTTCAGGGAAAATACTCAAAATAAGATAAGAATATTGACACGAAAAGGGTAAGAAACATAACGACTTTTAAATCATGACCATTTTTTGAACAATTGATGCAGATTTAGTTGATTTTGGGGTATGTTTTAGTAGGGTATCTCTACGCCGGAGTTACGGGTCAAAGTCTAGATACGATAGTCATCAGCGCGCGCCATCGTGCATTAGTCATTCCACCATGTTCACACAAATTAGACATCATTCTCACCTGAATCAACGTTTTGACATAGCCCATAGGATGGCTAAATGCCCCAATACCGATGTTGACCACTATTTGCATCCACGGGTCGTTTACAGCTGCCATTTTAGTCTCTCTTTCTGTCAACTCTAACCTGAATTTTGTCGACAAAATGAACTACCACCGCCAGCGGTTCCTAAACAAACTCAACCAAAGTATATTCGTATGAGGTCGTTTCGACACCCAACCCTATCAACTCGCTAAACTCACAAAACTTTTAGGTCGCGGAATTTTATGATGTTCCCAGAATTCCCCCCCCCCCCCCCCCCCCCTTCAAACCAAATTTTGTTATGGGAAGGTATTTTATGAGTATTGTCATAGGAGATATCATGTTTCTTAGAGAGTGGACTCATTCGAAATTTGGAAATTTCAATTTCGATTCCAAATCAGAAGATATACAAACAACATTAATTTGTTCAAAATTCAGCTGCTCTCACAATCCCCTCACAATGATCCAATTTATTCTGAATTTAGGTTACGATTAGTTTGTGAAACCTGCTGTGATCATCTATATTTTAACCTCCTCTAATTTACCCAAACTACATGTATTTTAGTTCACACATTATCTTTTGAAATGAAGGCAAAACTCGTATATTGAGAACAAAAAGGTAATCTCGACGGAACTACAGCCATAGGAGATTCGGAATATAGAACCTTTTTTGTTTCTAATTTCTTTGAAGAAAGCTCTACATTATTTAATAAATACGAAACAAACCCGATGGTGGGCTAAAATATTTTTACTGTATTTTATTTAGGGAACTCCTGCGCTCGGTTTTGTGCACGAGACTCAATAGAGAAAATATGTACCGAGCTACTAGCAATGTACGTACCGAGTTGAGTAGGTATCGAGCTGTTTCAATACATGTTAGGAGCTGTAATTCCCCTTGAGCTTGAGCGTTACACATTGACCCCTATTTCAAAAAATATATTAAATTTGATGATGAAATTTTTTAAAGCCAACTCGGTTTCATATGAAATTTACGACGCATGTTGGCTTTGTTGGGAAAGCACACATGAACTTAAAATGCATGAGAATATTAGTGATTTGGAAATCGTGGATATATTACGGCTCTGTAAAATTCAGAAGATATATAAAAACCTGTCTAGCTGCCTATAAAGACCACCAAGGAAGACAAGAAAAGTGGTCTTTATGTACAGGTTCCTTTAGTACATGTTTCAATAGGAAACATTTTCCAGGGGAAACAAGAAAATGTGGGCTTTGTAGAATGTAGACAGGTGGTCATTTTAAAGTGGGTTTGACTGTATATATAGTGCGAACATAATGAAAACATACGGATATAATTATGACGAAATAACACCAAACTTGCGGAACTTATTGTAAATTATTGGCATGTATATCAGTGGCCGATTCAGGGGGCACAGGGGGCACGTGCCCCCTCCCCCCGGTAAAAAAAAAAGAGGGAGGAAAGGGAAAGAAAAAGGGAGAAAGTGAGAAAAGGGAGGGGGAAAGGAAAAGCAGGGGGAAGCAGGGGGAAAAGAAAGAAAAGGGAAGAGAGAAAGAAGAAGAAAAAAGGTAGAAGAGACTAAAGGAGAGAGGAGAAAAGGGAGGGGGAAGGAAGAAAGGGGAAGAGAGAGAAGAGAAAAAGTGGAAAAGGAAGAAAGGGGGAAAGACGGAGAAGAGAAAAAGGGGGAAAAGGAGAATAAAGAGAAGGGAAAAGAAAGAAAGGGGGATGATATTATAAGAAGGTGTTTTTTTACCGGGAAAGGGGCGGGGGAGGCAATTTTGCAGTTTGCATAATATGGGTTCCTCTTGCCAGGTGTGTACCCCCCCCCCCCCCCCCCCCCACTGAAAAAAATAAGAAGAAAAAACTCAAAAAGAACCAAAAGAAGAGATGGGAAAAGAGGGTAAAGAGAGAATTTTGTCAGTTAAAGGAGAAAGGAAAAAAATGAAAGAGAATTAAACAACGATAGAAGAGAGGTGCGAGAGCACGAGGAGTTGCATTTCTTTTAAAAGAATAATGGGATACAAACCAGGGTCGTCGCTAAAGGGGGTGGTGTGGGGGAGCGACACCCCCACCTGGATATTGTCGGTAAAATTGCGCTGCTGTCGGGGAAAATGAGAAAAGGGGGAATGAGAGGGAAACGGAAAGAAAAGAACAAAATAAAAGGAAAAGAATGGAAAGAGAGGAAAGAAGGAAAGAAAGAAAAGGAAAAAAAAGAAAAAGAGGAATGAGAGGAGAGAAAGGAAAGAAAGGAAAGAAAGAAAAGGAAAAAAGGAAAAGAAGAAGGAAACAATAGAAACGGGGGATGAAAGAGAGGAGAGAGAGAAGAAGAGGGGTTAGAGTAAGAGAGAGGGGGGAATGTTGGATGGAGTCACCACGTCCAAGGGGCAAGAAAGATACGCATATATAATTATGTTGCTGTGTCGGGTCCGCTGTGTCGGTATTCTTGCTCGATCCTCGTGTACTATATCATGCAGAAGTTTGAAGTCGGTGATTATGTATTATGTCGGTGGGCCGGCAAATTTCCCCTACGAACCATGACTTTCTATCGGACAAAAAAAACATTTTTGAAAAACTCAGACGATGATTAAGAGTCGGTACAACGATTCGTCTTGTTTCTCTAATAATTTAATGAAACGTGAACGCTTAATTCCGCGCTTTGCGCGGTAGGGGGGGGGGGGGATTGAATTCAGACAAGGATTAAGAGTCGAAAACAGTACAAGGAATCGTCTTCTTTCTCCAATGATTTAATGAAATGTCAAAGCTTCCGCACTTCGCGCAGGAGGGGGAAACTAAACAATAACTTAGTTCCTGGCCCCGAGTTTATAGGGTTAAATTTGTAGACATTGGGACATTGGCATTAATATATTTGTCAGTAATTGGTGGCTAGTTTTGTAGGCAAACGGCGGCCTCTACACCCCCCCCCCCCCCACTGAAAAAGGTCTATCGACCTGATAATAACACAGTTGATACACTCGAGATAATTTTTGCAAGTACTACTAAGTGAAGTACCAGACCACCGTCTTTGTGCATTATGCAGCGACGAAGCGTATACAACGTCTCGCCACGTGACAGATCACTTTTCTCTAACTTCTCACCAATCAGACTGAAGGCCTTTATCAAGATTTGAACAAAAGAAGGCCTCGTGTTTTTCCAGGAAGTGACGATGGACATTAATGCGCCAAATTTGGTTCTCAAATTGCAAAAGATCCCTACTCTTGGAGGGGTAGGAAAAAGCAATTTGACGTTATTATTACTCCTGGAAGTGCCTGAAAATGCGCCTAATGTGGTTCTAAAATTGCAAATGCTTCCTACTCTAGGAGGGGGTTCTGACCCCCTCCCAGACCCAACCCCGCTTGGTCACTTAATTCGCCCCCTCCCGCTGACGCCTCGCTCCATCGTTTTTCATATATTTCACCCCATGCGATATTGCGCCCCCCCCCCCCCCCCCCCGGTAAGAAATTCCTGGATCCGCCACTGTATATACTAATGTCTAGCTGGGTCTATTTCTCTAGTCAGTCATAACTCGACAAAAAAGGTACTATCGGTACTTCAAACATTCATACAGGACCGTCAATGGCGGATCTATGCAGGCAGTGGCGGATCCAGGGAGGGGGCATGGCCTGGGGGAAAATACAGTTGAAAACACGTTAGTTTTTACCTTTTTACCTTACAATCGTGTTGGTAAAGAAAAAGTGGGAATAACAGAGAAGGAAAAGATAAGGTAGAAACGGAGAAGAGACAGATAGATAGAGAGGTGTGAGAGAGAGAGAGAGAGAGAGAGAGAGAGAGGGGGGGAGGTGGGAGGGGGAGGTTGGGACCGTGTGTATGTGTGGGGGGAGTTTTCAGGACGGTTAACATAATTTATGAAGAAAAATTTCGTCAAAATGGCTAGTCGTAGAACACCAGGACAAATCATATTGAATCTTTCAAGTCAATATCACAATTGAATTTAATGTTCATATTTCTAGGCAAATTCACCTGCAAGTATAGTCAAATATTTGTAAAAGACATAATTTGTATTCACTCTCCAATTTAGAAAATATCGATACACTTTTCAAAAGTTAATAATTTTTTTTTTTTTTATGGTCAGTTTTTATTCTTTTCTCTCTTGAAACAAATTATAATCATAGTACAAATTACAATCATCATAATTATGTAACGCTCACTGCAAATGTGATGACATTATAAATCAGTATAAATTTTTGTCTTACAAACGGCTTCAAAAGAAACTTACATAGTTAGTTCCTATACATCATATTTGAAACAAAAATTCATATTTTCAAAGAAAACATATGCAGTTGTATAATCCAAAAATTTTGTTTTAACAATGTAGCAACTTATACTTCTTTTATACTGTTGTCCTGAGAGAAAAGTTTTCTCTTTTTGTTAACCCTACCCTACCCGACCTCTCCCTTATCCCCCCCCCCCCTCTTAACCGGTGGACGACTGGCTCTGGGTTCCAACTGTTTGTCTACTACTCAGGTTTTCCCACTTAGAAAAATGAATAGTGAGAGTTCCCCTCATTGCTGCCAATTTCCTTTCTTCTACTTTATCCCCTATTATACTATTCTTTATTTCATTAAAAGAGGGTGGTTTTTTAAGTTCTCTATTTCTATAAATCAGATATTTAACAAGAATTAAAACATGATTCATTAATTGATATTTTCCTTTATTTCTCTCCTCTTTCCCATACAGAATTTCCTCCAAACTACAGTTATGTATTTCAAAGTCTAAAAATCTCGTGCACATTCCCCACACTGATTGTGCAAATTCACAAGTATGGAATAAATGTTTATATGTTTCTTCATCTTTTTCGCAAAATGAGCATAAGTTAGTCGAGACAAGACCAAAAGGGAAGAGGTGATGGTTTGTATATAATATATTATGTATACGTTTGAACTGAAACTCTCTTAATCGACTGTTAAGTGTACACTGTCTTAGTCTTAAAAATATGTTTTCTATTTCCTTAGGAAAAACCATAGTTCCTTCCAATTCTCTCAAAAACCAAAGGTTTAAAATCATCTTTCTTTATTAATTGTACATAAATTTGTTTTGATTTTAGATCAGCTATATTAGTTGTTTTCTTCCCCAAAGTGAAATCAGTTCCAGAATTATTTTTTCTTCTCCCTTTCTAAAATTATTTTTCCAACAAATTGGTAAACAGGCATAAAAGTGCTTGATCTTTTCAATTCCATTTACTTCAACACCTAAATCGATAAAATGCCTGTCACATTTTAGTTTACCATCGTTTTCCAGAATATGTTTTAATTTGTAAATTCCTTTGTCATACAACCTCTTATCGTATATACAACTTCCTTTATATCGAATAAGTTTATTATTAAAAATTACCACATCACCAATGTCTATACTCCTTATATGTCTCGTATTCACCCAATCTTCTAATAAATCCATATAAAATTGTGGAGCTGTCACTTTTAATAAACTTGGTATATAGTCTATAGCACGTTCGATTATGATATTCAGCGTGTTTGAATTATACCACACACTGTAACATATACGACTAATTCCACCTCCCAAACATTATGGCCCGAATTCACAAAGGAGGTTTCTCGACAAACCTTGGTTTTTGTACGTCATATGACGCGTTTTTACGCGTTTTTTTACAAACCTGGTTTGTAAAGAACAAAAGGAGGTTTGGCGGAACAAAAGGAGGTTTGTCGACAAACATCCTTTGTGAATTCGGGCCATCAGGTTTCTTATTCAATCGATAATAACTTGACCATAAACAGTAGCTTACAAATAATTTTGTATAGGTAAATACATTACACTATTACTTATTAGAGTTAATGGCAGCAATGTAGAACCTTTTTTAAAATTTCAATTCAATTTCAGTCTATTGTTTCATTTTTAAAAGTGGAAAATCATATTTGTGTATTATTCTTTTCTTCGACTCCCTTGCTCCCTCTTTTTGCGGGGGTGGGGGGCATGGGGCATGTTTCCCGGTATCCCTTGGATCCGCCAACGGTCCATAACAATGGCTGCATCCAAATGATGCCCCTGACGTCTCGTACCCATTGCCATACTAAACAGGCCTACTTCAATCAATACTAGGTTAACAATAAACAGTAACTCACAACTAACCTTGATACAGTTAGATACTATGCATGATAAGATACAGTTGATTGCAGCATTGTAGACCATTTTTCAAACAAAATGTCAATTATCTCATTGCTTTTCTTAATATTAAATATCCGCTATCGTCGGCACTTCGCCAATATTTCCTGATTAAAATACATCATGAAGTAATAAATGAGCATGCATTTTGTTTTTTATTACCAGTATTATTGCACCTTATCATAAAACATGTATGAAATATTACTTATTACATATTCCTTCTACTGTACTAACCCTCTTACATGCAACAAAATCCTGAACAAAAATCTCAACCTACAAAGATATTCATGGTTTTCATTGAAGGCGTCACTGTGCGTAAATTTTCCAAAACAATTTTTTGAATTTTCCCAACCGTTTTTCCATGAACGAAGTAAACAGAACATACATCAAGAGGACGAGTATGGTCACGGGAAGGGGGCTACGTCATCTTTTCGAGAACTACCGTTCTATTGTGCTAATGATATTGCTAACGTTACTGCTAATAATTATACCGATAGTGGTGCTAATGCTAACGCCAATACTACTAATACTATTACTACTTATGATAATACTCATATATACTGCTATTATTTTTACCACTAATAATAATAACCAACATTATAAGATGATGAAGCGGATCCTAATCAAATGATTGGTTGAGAGCGTATATGACCAGGCTTTCATTTTGCCTAACACGTAATTTTACTAAAGACCGGTCATAATCAAATACTAATGACCGGTGATTAGTAAAATCATGCTGTAAAACATCACTTTATAAAACAAATAAAACATCATCTTATAATATAGTATTAATGACTGCTTTGAGAGAAATAGTTGTTTTTATACGCTCAAGGGAAGGTTAGAATTTTGCTATTACCCGAGGCGTGCCGAGGGCAATAGCCCAATTGTAGCCTTCCCGAGAGCGTATAAAAACAACTATTTCTCGAATATTAAAGCAGTCATTAATACTTTTATATGCCGAAAAAAAAACGAAAAAAAAAAAACGAAAAAATAAAAAATAAAAAAACTTTTGTCGAAGATGGGATTCGATCTCTTGCGTACAAAAGGTGATGTAACTAAAATCACCGCCTTAAACCGCTCGGCTATCGCGCTCTGTTACCATACATAGCAGTTTTTTCTTATATATACATTAAAATGGATTGAAAACGGCTTCGCGTGGTGGATGCTTCGCGGCTGCTCCATTAAACAGGCCCTTCTTTTACTTTTGCAATGCATATTGGCACGAATTTAGATCAAGATCTATCGGCAGATGTTGTTTTTTTGTTTTTGGAAGTTTATTTTCGTCTTCATGTCAACAATGCAAGAAAAAATTGTCGCTAAGATCGATCGAGATTCAATTGTATTGAAATTACCGACCAATTCTTCGCACACGTACGGTATCCTCGATCGCTCAGACCATTTTTTAACATGTAAACCTATGGGGTAACCATGGAGACTGAACTATTTTCCCAATAACCATGGTTACTGGGAATTTTACAGAAATAGTTGAAGTTTATGAATGCAATTTCGACCAATCAGATGGCTGGATTTCTTATTAGTGAGGTATATAAAAACAAATGATACACAACAGTGAGGTCAGTAGTAAGGATTACCCATACAAGGTACCTTTGGAACAGTCTATTGAATACGCCAGAGGCGATCGAGGTTGTTTGGACTGTTTCGAAGGTACCGAACAAAATGATACTGATACTAAAACTAGTAAATCCTGAGCACTGTTTTAACGAACCATCGAACACAAAATATGTAATCTCAATATGAATAGCGTCTATAGCCTAATATTTACAATTACTATTAAATATTAACTTTCAGAAAAAATGAGAAAAAACAAAACAAAATAGAATACCATTATTGCAATATGATATAACCATTTTACAGTACTGTTATTTATACCTCAGTCACCCTGTACCAAACAATATCCAAACCGGTCCCAAACCGACCGATTCTTGGGTCAATTTTGAACTTCCTGTTCAATGCGTAGCCGGTCTTGCGTCGTTCTTATCGGTTAGACAAATTATTAGTCCTAAGCCACTCGACACAAAACCGACCCTACACCGACTCCAAACCGATCGATTCTTGTCCATTCGTCGAACTGCAAGTTCGTTCTCGGTTCGTTGTCGGTCTTGCGTCGGTTTAATGGTGTGACTGATTCCTGATACCTCCAAACCGATTACACACCGACTCCGAACCTTCGACCGAATATAATTTTTCGTTTGAAAAAATAATTTTGGTCGATAAATACAATAAAAATCTATATCATAAACAATCAAATTTTTCATATAAATAGATATCTGTAGCTATCACACAATTACTTTTAGAATGTTTCATTCAAATACATAACATGATTGGAAACACAAAGCAGTATGGAAGATTTTAAAGGAATTCACTCAAAGGCACATTCAGTAGCCTTGTCATTGATCGTTATCAGTGGCGAATCAATTGCAAATTTAAATCTACCATACGTCATTAAAGGTACTATGTCCCATTTGCAGGCCAACAAAAATGAAAAGGTTAAATTCCAACGGCATTTGAAAGTCAATACTAATTTAGAACTTCCCTCTAAATGAAAGGGCTTGAAAATGGCTTTTAGTGGGAAAACAACGACCATTAGTTGTCGAATCGACATAAGTGATTGCAATCACCTAAGTAATAGTCTGATTTTCAGACCCTTGTACCGAATGGACGTACGTTTTGTGCTGCACAAAGATTTAATCAGTTTAATTTTAGCCATACAAGTATAGTGGGTTATGTTAATGTTTAAATTTCACAGATAGGACATACATGACATATTCATAATTCCTGCAAAGTTCTACAGAATTTGTTGTTGGCTGCAAAAGGGACATTGTATCTTTAAAGTTAAGCCTTAGCCCAAGTTCCCACATAACGCTGTAAACCCTTCCCCACCTAAAAACATATCTGGCAAACAACAACAACACCCATATTAAGTAAATTAAGAAATATATATTCATATTTATTTCTACTGTGACACGATAATGATGACAACAACATTAGGCACTTATTGGCGGAAGAATTGCCTTTTCCAACACTGAAAACAGTTGCATAATATTGCAGCCTTTTCCATATTCATACCATCAATATTAATATAGGTAATATTGGCATCTGGCCACCAACTAGACCATAGTATATAGACTCTTGCAATTACCCCATCACAGTGATCATTTTCAGTGAATTACAGATGTGTATTACAGTTAGATACAAATACAATATGCACAGTGGGGTTATATATGTGTGTGGTATACTATTTAGTAAGAATTTAAAGCCCGAAGTCGTAGAAGTTACTTATATTAGAATAGCACGGTGGGTATACGCCATCGTGACTTGTAACTAGATGATAGACGGCAGCACCGGACGACATCCCTGCACCGAGGATGGCTACGAGCACGATTATCACGTGACAAGTGTTCGTAAGGCACGCGGGAATACTGTAATTTAAATATAACAACAACAACAAAACAGTTAAAAAGAGAGCGAAAAGACCACCCACTGTTCAATTTTTCTTACATCAGTAACAATGATAGAGTATACATTTGTTTATACATTTATAATGATGAGATAATATAAATTGATAATAATAATAACCATTAGCCAAACGAATAATCGACATTTCATAGTGCATTATATTACAAGATTCAAGATTCAACACACATTACCTTCTTCTTATAATCAAACAAATACAAAATGAAATTTACATTCGCGTACAACGATTTAGAAGGCGAAATACCATGAAAGCATGTGGCTTAAATGTACGATGTCCCATTTGCAGCCAACAACACATTTTGTAGAACATTGTAGGAATTATGAACACGTCCTATCTGTGAAATGCAAACGTTAGCAGTGTCCTAATATTCAAATTGTGCAAAGAAACCCGTTTACTTTCTAGATTTCACTGTCGGACACTGTCGAGTTACTGACTGACTTCCGTTTTTTCTTTGGTAATGACATTCATAAAATGAGCTTTAAAGGATACATGAGCATTTGTCAACATCAATAACCCAATTCTTGTAATGGCCAAAATTAAACTGATTAAATCTTTGCGCAGGAAAAAAACGTACGACCGTTCGGTACAGAGGTATAAAAATCAGACTATTCTATTTTAGTGATTGCAATTAAGTTGATTCGACAACTATAATGGTCTTTTTTCTCCCCACTTAAAGACGGCTTCACGCCCTTTCGTTTAGATGGAAGTTTAAAATTAGTATTATCTTTCAAATGCCGTTGGAATTTAACCTTTTCATTTGTTGGCCTGCAAAATGTGTTGGGGTCGAATATCACAATTAAACCTATAAATGCTTCGTTAATGGTTGTTCAGGCTTTGTGCCGCATTAATACTGTTGAGGCTACCCTGGGTAAACAAGACATTATATTTATTATTTCTCCCATTTTTTTTTTTTTTTTGGGGGGGGGGGGGACATTGTTTTCATTAATATTTATACAGGTTTTCTAAAGTATTAATACTGATGAGGTTACCCTGTGTAAACAAGACATATTATTATCATTATTTTCTTCATTTTTCGCACTGTTTTTTTTTTGGAAGGGAGGGGGAACGATGTTTTCATTTATATCTGTACAGGTTTGGCCGTATCACTACTGATCAGGCTACCCTAGGTAAACAAGATGTATTGTTACAACTATTTTCTTATTTTCCCATTTTGTTTATCTCTTCTTATTTTTTATTTTTTGGGGGGAGGCAAAATACATTTTGTTATTAATATTTGTACAGGTTTTGTGCTGTATAAATCCTGATGAGGCTACCCAAGAAAACAAGAAATATTGTTATTATCATTCTCTTAATTTTGTCTCTCCTTTCTTTTCGGTGGAGTGGGGGGAGGGCACAGTGTTTTTAATACTTACATGCTTTCCGGTGGACTGGCCGGGGGTTCCATCCGTACGAGCTTGGCATAGATGACGATGGGCAAGATAAAATTGACGACTGCTACTAATGGGCCACCGATCAGCGGCAAGAAGATCGTGAAGTGCGGGAAAGTCATGGCGACGAAGAGGAGAAGGAGTATGTACAAGGACCGTAGTAAACACCGCTTCCATGTAAACACTAATGTAAAAAATGAAAAATTGAAAAATGATGTGATCAAGATCGCCAAAACTTTTGAAATGGAATGTAGGGGTGTCGGAATGTAGGGTTATCGGAAACATGGGAAGTGTGGGAACATAGGGGTTTCAGAACATAGGGATGGCGGCCGGATGGCGGAACGTAGTGGTGTCGAACGAGTGCAGGTAAGATGCTTGCAAGACATGCAAGCCCAAGATTAGGCAAGAAGGGAACACAAATAATGACTAGGTTGGTTAATGGTGTTATGTAGTGAAACTTTGCTCTTAAATTTTCTGTTTTTTTACTGGTGATAGGATTGAGATATTTCATCAAAAAGTCTTCTTTGAAACCAAGGAAGATCTATTTATTGCTTTGGATACATTTTTGAGGCTGTTCTGAGGAGGATTGCAGTGATTTTTCAGGATACTTTACTGTTCTGAGCATGGCTTTTTGAAGCCTGGATTGTCACATCAGTCCCATATATGAGGATTTATGTTTGATGTCTGTTGTGTTGAGGATTTACAACTTTTTCAAGTTGTCACCAGCAGTGGGTATTGATTTCTCCTCGCTCCAAAGTATGTGAGTAATCTGTTAGTTTTGATTGCAGTGACTTTTAAGGATATTTTACAGTTCTGAACATGGCTTTTTAAAGCCTGGATGGTCACATCAGTCCCATATATGAGGATTTATGTTTGATGTCTGATGAGGATTGACACCAGCAGTGGTTATTGATTTTAGTTTCTACTAAATAGTTCAACTGCTTTACTCTGAATATTATCAAGATGTCCGGCCCTGGCAGGAAACCAAGTGTGAGTAAGCCAGTGACAAGGAAGACCAGCACCGCTACTGCTGCAGCAATTGCAGATGGAAGCCAGGGAAACTCAACAAGCTCTTCAAAATCAAAGACAGACCACAATTGTGGCAGTTGCAATCTTATTGTAATGGATGAAGATGATGCAATTGAATGCGAACTTTGCAAATTTTGGTTTCACTGCACATGTTAAAATGTATCCAAAAAGCTGTACGATACCATCAACGATATAGACTGTGGTGCATTACACTGGTACTGCCGAACCTGCAATGGTACAGCTGGGAACATGTTGAAAATGCTATCATCATTGCAGACCAATCACTCTAAACTTACTTCAGAGGTGAAAGGGTTGAAAGATGAAATGAAGGAATGTAAAGTAAGGATTTCCAACAACCAACAAAAGATGGAAGAAAAAATTGATGAACTCAAAAAGGATATGTCGATCCACAGCAAGGAACCACAATGCTCAACAGAAGAGGTGGAGAAACTGGTAGCAGATAAACTGGATGATTTTGTGGAAAGAGAGAGAAGGAAGAACAACATCATTGTTTACGGCATTCCAGAATCTCAAAGTCAGGATACCGAAGTTAGAAAAAAAGAAGATCGTGACCAGATAAACTCTATCTTTCACCAAGACCTCAAGCTGAAAGCAGATGTCAGTCATGTAAGATCTCTGTACCGCCTTGGTAAAAAGTCTGATTTAGCTAGACCATTGAAAGTTGTTATGGATAATGGAGCTGCTACAGAGGAAGTTTTAAGGGGAGCTAGGTCCCTCAAGTCAGGAACAGTACAGATCGCCAGAGATCGCACGAAGGCCGAGAGAGAGGAACACAAGAGACTAAGAAATGTTCTGAAGGAGAGAATTGAAAGAGGCGAAGAGAACCTTGTAATACGGGGCGGAAAGGTAATAAAGCGGACTTTTCGTCGCGATGAAGGAGTCGGCGACCACTAGTCAATTAGGAGATGGATTTTTAAACTCACTCACCAGCACTGCACAGTATTGTGATCACGATGTATATAGTGGAGCACAGAGCACAGCACACAGTGCAAATTTAAACTTTGAGTATACTGCACCAGTGATTGATCCACCATCTTCAAAGGTTACTGAACAGGAGAAGGTTAATGATCTAACCAACCATCCAGACTATATTTTGCAAACTGAGTCATCAATTAAGTTTTTCTACACAAATTGTGATACTCTAACAAACAAGAAGGAAGAGCTCTATACAACTATTTCACTTGTCAAACCAGACGTAATAGCTCTGACTGAGATCTACCCTAAAAGGATCAACCAGGATTATGCAATCCAACCTACTGAATTACAGTTACAAGGATACCATATGTTCTTACCAGCAAAACTTAAAGTCAGACAGAGAGGAGTAGTAGTTTACTTGAAAGAAGGGATTTCTGGTAGCTTGGTAGACATAGATGAAGGTAAATTTGAAGAAACTGTATGGATACGACTGTCTACCAATGGCACTGATCTTCTCTTTGGCTGTGTCTATAGAAGTCCCTCTAGCAACTCTGAGAACAATACAAACTCGAACTGTCTCCTACGCACAGCGTGTTCAATGAAGTATTCACACTTGATAGTGGTAGGGGACTTCAATTACAGAGGAATCAACTGGCAGGCAAACACCACCTCTGGAGTCAGTATCAATGATGAACAATTATTTATTGACACTGTGAACGATCTTTTCCTGCACCAACATGTAAAGGAACCTACCAGACAAAGGACAGGCCAAAGACCTAGCTTACTTGACTTGATCTTAACCAGTCATGAAGATACAGTCAGTGATGTAACTATTGGGCCACCCATTGGCAAAAGCGACCACGTGACCATTACCTTCGAGATGGATGTCGGCAACATACAGGCAGAGGAGGAGTTACCTACGAGAAGCTATTATCATGCAGATTATGATAAAATGAGGTACCAACTGAAGGACATTGATTGGAGTTCTAAGTTTGAAAATACTTCTGGAATACAAGCCTGGAATATATTTGAGGAGATTCTCCATAAAACCATAGAAGACTGCGTCCCACTGAAGAAAAAGAGAAAGCGGAATAGACCAGAGTGGATGAACAGTGAAGCTCTTGAAGCAGTTCGAAAGAAAAGGAAAGCTTGGAATAAATATCGAAAGAGTAAAAGAAAACAACATCCTGATGTGGATTTGAACTGGAGGGAGTACACCAAAATAAGGGACATAACCACCTCTGTGATCAGAAAATCAAAATCTGACTTCGAAAACAAACTAGCAGCTGAAATTAAATTGAATGCCAAAAGCTTCTGGAATTATGTAAAGAAACAGACAAAATCAAAACCATCATTGCCTGATCTACAAAAACCTGACGGAACATGGGCTAAAGAGGACCAAGAGAAAGCCGAGACCCTTAACGAGTACTTTGGTAGCGTGTTTTCAGTGGAGGATATTCATACAGTTCCAATACTTGACAAGAAATGCAGTAATCTTCTCACTATCATTGAATTTACACCCGAAGAAATCGATGGCCTGTTAATGCATCTGGACATCAACAAATCTCCAGGTCCTGATGGCATTCATTCGCGTGTGCTGAAAGAAACACATACTGAGATTGTCGAACCACTGCAAACAATATTTACTAAGCTAATGAACGAAGGGAAAAATCCATCAGTATGGAAACAAGCAACAGTGGTTCCAATCTTCAAGAAGGGCAAGAAGAATGACCCAGCCAACTATCGACCTGTGAGTCTGACATCCATTATATGCAAGTCTATGGAGAAACTAGTAAGAAAGCGTGTCATACATCATTTAGAACAGAACAAGTTAATGTGTGATGAACAACATGGATTTCGGACTGGAAGATCTTGCTCAACTCAACTTTTAGAAGTTTGCGAGGAGTGGACAGATGTCATTGACCAGGGTCATAATGTAGACTGCGTCTATCTGGATTATCGAAAAGCATTCGACAGCGTGCCACATCAACGGCTCATATGTAAACTTCAATCTTACGGAATAGAAGGTCCCTTACTTGCCTGGATTAAAGACTACCTCTCAGACAGGACTCAAAAAGTTACAGTAAATGGGAAAGAGTCGAGATCCATTCCTGTGACGAGCGGTATTCCGCAGGGAAGTGTGCTCGGACCAACATTGTTCAATGTCTTCATCAATGACCTGCCATCAACTGTTGACTCCCACATGAAGCTTTTTGCCGATGACACTAAGTTATACAGGACAGTGGACTCTAAAGCCGACTCAGATTTGCTACAGATGGATGTCAACACCGTAACAAACTGGTCCAATGTATGGCAATTGCCCTTTAACGAAAGTAAATGTAAAGTACTACATTATGGAAGAAAGAACCAAGGTTTTGACTACACACTGGCTGCTGGTACAAATATATTTTCAGTTCCATCTGGTAATGAGGAAAGAGATTTGGGAGTGCTGTTTCAACAGGACCTGTCTTTCAGCACCCATGCAGCAGATGCTGCCAAGAGAGCCAACATTAAGTTAGGAATGATCAGAAGGTCTTTTTCAGCCTTGCAAGAGAAGGGGTTCCTTAGTCTCTACAAAACCATTATTCGACCAACACTAGAATACTGCAACTCTGTATGGTGCCCAATACTCAAGAGAGATGAAGACATACTAGAAAAAGTCCAGCAGAGGGCCACCAGACTTCTTCCTGAGCTGAGACAAAAAGCATACCCAGACAGACTTAGAGAACTACAACTTCCTACTTTAGCTTACAGAAGACAAAGAGCAGATCAGATACAGATATTCAAAATCCTGAAAGGCTTTGACAGAGTGAATCCTTCAAAATTCTTCCAACTAGCCACTGGCTCAACAACAAGAGGCCATGATTTCAAGATTGTCAAACAACGTTTCAACACAAGACTTAGGCAGTATAGTTTCTCAATAAGGAGTGTAAATAATTGGAATGCTCTGCCTAAGGAAGTAGTCAATGCTGCCACCATTAACCAATTCAAGTCATCCCTAGAAAGGTATTGGAGAAACAATCCAATTAAGTTTGAACCATACTGAGACGGGATGCAACAGTAAAGAGGGACAAATAAGCTTTAGCTTCCAGTCTCTACACCCAAGTATACCAAGTAAGTAAGTAAGACAGGGGTGTCAGAACCTAGGGGTGTCGAAACCTAGGGATGGCGGAACATAGGGAGTTTCGAAACATAGGGGTGTCGAAACATATAGTGGTGTCATAACACAGGGAGTATCCGAACATAGGAGTGTCAGAAAATAGGAGTGTCAGAAAATAGGTACAGCGGAATATAGGGAGTATGGGGACATATGATTGCCGGAGTTTAGGGGTGTAGGACCATAGGGGGTGTCGGGACATAGGAAGTGTGGGAACATAAGGGTGCCGGAACATAGGGGTGACGGAATGTAGGGGTGCCGGATTGTAGGGTTATCGGAACATAGGGAGTGTGGGAACATAGGGGTGGCAGAATGTAGGAGTGTCGGAACATAGGGTGTCGGAATATAGGGGTGAAGGAATGTAGGAGAGTCAGAAAATAGGTACGGCGGAATATAGGGAGTATGGGAACATAAGAGTGCCGGAGTTTAGGGGTCTCGGAAACATAGAGGTGTCGGAACCTAGGGGTGTAGGAACATAGGAAGTGTGGGAACATAGGGGTGATGGAATGTAGGGTTATCGGAACATATGGAGTGTGGGAACATAGGGGTGCCGGAATGTAGGGTAATCGGAACATAGGGGTTACGGAATGTAGGAGTGTCGGAACATAGGGGTGCCGGAATGTAGGGTTATCGGAAAATAGGGGTGCCGGACTGTAGGGTTATCGGAACATAGGGAGTGTGGGAACATAGGGGTGCCGGAATGTAGGGTTTTTGGAACATAGGAGTGCCGGAATGTAGGGTTATCGGAACATATGGAGTGTGGGAACATAGGGGTGCCGGAATGTAGGGTAATCGGAACATAGGGGTTACGGAATGTAGGAGTGTCGGAACATAGGGTTATCGGAACATAGGGAGTGTGGGAACATAGGGGTGCCGGAATGTAGGGTTATCGGAACATAGGGGTAACGGAATGTAGGAGTGTCGGAACATAGAGGTGCCGGAATGTAGGGTTATCGGAACATAGGAGTGCCGGAATTTAGGGTTATCGGAACATAGGGAGTGTGGGAACATAGGGGTGACGGGATGTAGGAGTGTGGGAACATAGGGGTGCCGGAATGTAGGGGTGTCTGAACATAGGGGTGCCGAAATGTAGGGTTATCGGAACATAGGGGTGCCGGAATGTAGGGGTGTCGGAATGTAGGGGTGTCGGAAACATAGTTGTGTCGAAACATAGGGATTCCGGTATAACGCTTTGGAGGTGATGATGACCACTAGAATTGTCCTTGAGGACTTGGTTAGGATGATGGTAAAATTGTCGGACAAAATGAAGAACCAAAGTAAACAATAGAAGAATGATTAAGTACAATTATAAGGAATTAGATGATGTAATATTATTGAATAAATAAATGAAGTACATAAATGGACAAAAGAATAAACTAACCATTTAAGCCGTAAGTAAATAAACTAATGAAGGAATATACTAATATATATATATATATATATATATGAACAAGCGAATGAAAATGTACCAAGTATTGATTAGAATGTAAGTAAGCAAATGAGTACAATGAATGAATAACAGGTAAATGGATAACTCGTCACTAGGTTCCCAGGACAGAAACTTCCATGACTTTATATGTATCAGTAAGCCGTTCATTTTACATATGTTGAGTAACATGTACATGTAAGTAAATGACCCTACCGTAAGGAATATTGAAGAAATCTTCAGCGTCTTGGAAGAACGGATTGGATGTGATGATGATGACAGGAATCGTGTAGAACATGATGAGGATGATGAACGGTACAGTGATGAAGTGTGACGTCACTATATCCAGGATATTGGAGGCATGGAGCGCACGATAGCCTTCTCCGTAGATGATGAGACACGTGATGGTGGCAGGGAAGTAGATGATCGCTGTAACTGTAAGGAGCATATATGGTATGAATGTGAATATTCATATTTATAATTTAATAATGTGCATTGGGAAATGAATTTAAATCCCTTCTGCACTAGTTTGGCAAGGAGGATTTAGACCTCTCTGCAAGGTCACTGGCAGGTGGTTATCTCATCAAATCAGCTCTCAATTAACATAAGAAAAAGGGCATCATGGGGGATCAACGGGTACCGCTTAGGCATTATTGGCTGTATAGAGGGCGCAAGTAGCTATAAGTGGTGCAATGGGGCTTTCACAGTCTTTTAAGTAACGGGATATTGACCTTGAAATATAATTTGGGCTTCTAATTTATCAACAGTAGATACGAAACAATTGATAGGGTATTACGACAACCGTATGCAAAGAATATTTGTTCTTTTTCTAGAATATCGCTATCCTTTCGTCCTGTTGACGGATTACGTATTTTAACGGCGATGGGGGAATCCTGAATTATATACAATACGGTAGATTTGTTTTTAGATTTAAAAAAAATTGTCGACGAAGTAAAGAAAATTCTATTGCTTGACATGAGGTATGGGAGATGCGATTGACTTGACAATCAATGCTATGACAAATAAGGAAAATAAGGAAAGGGGGTATAAATTTACTTTAAAATTTATGATAAAAAGAACATTCAGTTATTGAAGAGGCACGTTTTGAAATTCTTAAAAGATTCAATCGAATTGGAAGTGCGGCTAAAAGAAGAAAGGGATTCTATATTTTGGGATCCGTAAAAAGAGAAACTACCCTCCCCACGATTTCGAGTTTACACGTGGTAATCGGAGGAGCGTAGGATCGTTTTGAAGAGCGGAGTTGATATTGTGATCAGGTTGATATTTAAACAAAAATGGATATATGATTTGGTGCACAGTTATTTAGACAAGACTATTAGAGAGAGTTTATATATGATACGCTTTTGTCAAGGTTAACCAGTGATATTGTACAAGCAAGTGAGATGCAGTTTAATACTCTGACTCCGCAACAAAATGAATAAACATAATTAAACTAATCTCGAAAATGAAAATGAAAATTTAATTCCTGTTGACAGGGTTTTAACTTCATTTTTTTTTAATACTGTTATTTTCGTGGGATAAGGAGGCTGATAATCGGCGCTCCATAAAATTTCATGCTTTTATTGTTATCGGCCATATTCATCTCAATGTGTTTCCCCCAGGAGGGGGGTACTCAGATTTGGTTTTGACGGGGATGTGCCGCTGAAGCCTCGCAACCCCTACCAATTTTTAAGGGTCATTTTGGCGGATTTTTCTCTAAGTAAAGCCCATTTTTCAAAATTATTGGGTGTTTTCATGATAAAAACCTGGACAATTTAAAAAAAAGCAGACCCATATTAAGGGGTGTCTTGGTTAAAATGGGACCCATGTTTAGGGATTTTTGTGTGAAAAAGTTACCCATTAGAGCGGCACACCCCGTATGTCTTAAAATGTGAGTGCTCCCCCCCCCCCTCCCCCCGGTGTATTTCCTCACTTGCATAACCTAGCAGAACACTGGTGGTGAAATCCTCTGGGTTTCGCATGTCGTGCTGCACGGTAGGATAGACAGACTGCCCGGCGTACGCGAATATGATGTCACCCATGGATGAAAAGATCTCATCGACCTCGACTTCGTCGGGGTGGTCGATGCCGGAGTAGGTATCGTGGTCGAGCAGGGATCCGACGAATAGAAACCCACCCGCCGTGAATGCAGTTATAATCGCGAAGTAACCTACGAACCTAAGGAGATCAAAGCATTGATTTCAGGAGAACAAATTAAAGCAATATTATTTATTTATTTTTAATTACAAAAGAAAGAAATCGTATCCCCCATAATTGTGTGCTTTTTTCTTGCTGTTGCTATTGTTGTTCTAATTCTCCTTTCCCTTCATCTCTATTGTCTTCTTCATCGCCTCCTTCCCATTTGTTTTCATCATCATTATCATCATAATCATTCTCTTACACTTTCTTCTTCTTCTCCTCCTCCTCCTCCTCTTCCTCCTCCTCCCCTTGTCCTTACTTGCTTTCTTCTTCATCTTTGTCTTCTTCGGCTCTTTCTCCTTTAGATCCTTCTTTTCAAAAAAAATCTTTCTCATCATTTTTATTCCTTTTCCCTTCTTCTCTAGTATTACTTAACATTAACAAATAAGGCTAGTTCAGACAAGATACAAAACCAATGTTTTTTTTTTAATTGATTGTTGACGTAAAGTGTTATGCGCGTCATAGTAAACAAGCCACACATTAAAAAAGGGCTCTAAAGAAAGATTCCATGGCATTTTGGGCTAATGCATGGCATACATTCTAAAACCCTTGCAAAATGCTAAGAAAAAAAATACGGGTAGATGCCACGCCCACTTTTATAATTAGAAAATGTCATTTCGGCTCGGAATGTGAAAGTATGTAAACAAAACAGAACATGATTTTTAATTTTCATGATCGAATATGTAATATCTCATGAAAACCTTCCAATTAATATAATTTTCATTATGAGTTGAAAAAATGAATCTGGTTAATATACATTTGAATGTTGGATATTACACACACAATGTATGGCGCAATGAAACATAAAAGTGCGATTTACTCGGAATATGGGGTCAATTCGTTATTTTTTTTCTTCATTTCTTTTCTTCAAACCATACACCTGTCCTTTAAAACTCTTTTTCTTGATTAAACAAATCATATATGTTGTTATGCCACACACGGAAAAGAAATGATCAGATAATGTGATGGATAGGTCATTTTGTTATCCCCTATGTATGTCTTTTTACAGGATGCTCATGTACTGTATATATGGCAATTCCCACATAATTATTAGCAGTATAAGTCTATGGGCTACAAACTGAAAAGGCACACACCACATGTCAAAGACTGGCCCTAAAGTTTCAAGATTTATTTATTTCTTTCCACTTGCATAAAAAAACATTTCATTCAGTAACAGTAGTAACAAGTTCATCGTAAACTAGCATAAATACATTAACAATGAAACAGTTATAAAGACTTTAACAAATGTGGAAAAAGAGGTGGTCTGTTAAAAAAGCACAGCTTGTTAAAACACAGATCACCTTTACAGAAACAACATTTTTTTTAAAAAGAAGTAGGTTATATTACAGGGGGAGGGGGACTAATACTAATCTAGTTACCTATACAGACTATAAATAAATATCAGATCTACCACTAATTTACAAAATATGGTAGACTAAAAAAGAAAACAGAATAAAGATAATGGAAAAGTAAAGAAATAGGGGAAGGAGGATAATGTACAACACGGGGGGGGGGGGACAATGCTATTCCAGTTACCTATATTGAATACTAATAAAAATCAGATCTATTCACTGTAGGTGTACAGTAGATGAAATTTCAGCTTACGTTTGAAGACAGAAGAGCTTACAGACTGCCTAATAGAACAGTCTAAAGAGTTCCAATACTTTGGTCCAGTATGTGCAAGTGTATTAATCCTAAGCTGAGTTCTAGCTGATGATACATGGTATAAGGCAGCCTGCCTAGTAGAGTATTTGTGTATTTGGTTATTCTTTACAAAAATAGATGCTATTGACATGGGAGCTTCACCCTTCTCCAACTGATACATAAGATATCCCAGATATAGAAAATATATATCTTTTACCTTCAGCATTTTATTTTCGTAAAATAGCTTGTCAGTGTGAGCACGCCAATCAGCTGCCGAAATAATTCTCACTGCTCTCTTTTGAATGAGCAGAATTTTATTTAAGTAGGATTTGGCTGAGGCACCCCAGGCTAGCACACCATAATTTAAGTATGGCAAAATTAAGGAACAGTACAACATGCTAAGTACTTTTCTTGGGAATACAAACTTCAATTTGTTGATCATACCAACATTTCTAGAGAGCACTTTACTTAAATGAGTAGTATGCATCTTCCAAGTCAATTTATCATCAATGTGGAGACCTAAAAATTTAATAAATGAGACCTTTTCAATATTTACCTGATCAAAGACTACATTACCAGGCATTACTGTTTCACTATTACTGAATAACATATGTTTAGTTTTTAATAAGTTTAGCGACAGTTTATTTGCATGAATCCATTTAGTCAATACACAAAGCTCTCTATTTACAGTTTCTAAAAGAGTATTTAAGTTTCTATGAGAACAGAATACACTTGTATCGTCTGCAAATAGCAAAAAAGAAAACGTCTCTGAGGATTTTGGAAAATCATTTACATATAAAATAAAAAGCAGGGGACCCAAAAGGGAACCTTGAGGTACTCCACACGTGACGGGTAACATATCTGAACAAATTTCGCCGAGCTGCACAAATTGCTGTCTGTTACTAAGATAACTTCTAAACCATTCGAGTGCAGGTCCTCTTACCCCATAATAAGAGAGCTTGTGCAACAAAATATTATGGTTCACCGTATCAAAAGCTTTGGAATAATCCAAAAATATACCAACCGTATGGAGGTGTTTATCAAGTGCCGAAGATATTTTGTCTAAAAGACATAAAACAGCATGAGAAGTTGTGTGTTTCTCGCGAAAACCAAACTGAGAATTTGAGAAAACTTGACACGACTTCAAAAACTTTATCAATCTAATATATACAAGCTTTTCCAAAATCTTGGAGAAGACAGTAAGTAGAGAAATTGGTCTATAATTACCAGTTTCTACAGGGTTCCCTTTTTTATATATAGGCACAACTTTAGCTATTTTCATTTTTTTAGGAACAATTCCATGCATTAAAGACAAGTTATAAATGTGAGTGAGAGGTACGACTACAAATAAAATTACTTCTTTTATCAAATCATTAGTTATACCATCATATCCAGGGCTCTTCTTCCTTTTCAAGCCACTTACAACATCTATAACCTCAGAATTCACTACAGGAACAAAAAATAAAGACTTTTCATTTGGACTGGTTAAATAATTTCCATAGGTTTCCTGTATATCAGGTATGGAGCTAGACAGAGTAGCACCAATGTTAGAAAAATATTCATTAAATGCTTCACACATAAGTTTCTTGTCTTCAATAAGACCATCCTTCCAGGTGAGTTTTGTAATACTCTGTAGTTTAGGATTGGTTTTCAAGACATTTCGAATAACTTTCCATGTTCCTTTAACATTATTACACGTAGACTGGAATTGAAATTGATAATAGTCTTTCTTTGCTTGGCGCAGAGCAGAAGTCAATATATTTCTATAGTTAGTATACTTAAGCTTGGCTACACCAGTCTGCTTTGCTTTGTATCTACAAAACAAACGATTCTTTTTATTTATTGACCTGAGTAAAGACTTAGTGACCCATGGCATTCGAGGTACTCTTTTATATTCTTGTTTACTTCTTTGCACCAAGGGAAAGCATCTGTCATAAGATAACACCATTATATCCATGAATTTATCAAAAGACTTATCAACTTCTGTTTCACATAAAACTTCGTTCCATTCAACAGTTTCCAATTCTCTCTTAAATTTTGCTATATTTCCCTGAGTGAATTTCCGTGTTAACTTATCACAGGATTCAGTACAAGAACTCCTTAATGCTAAAGATGTTCTAGCAAATATAGGGAAATGATCAGATATATCGGCCACTATTACACCAGCAGTGGGAATAGGGTGCAAATTGGTGAAAATATTGTCAATTAAGGTTTGTGAGTTATCTGCTACTCTAGTTGGCTTATTAATCAGAGGAATCAAAGAGAATGTACTTAAAGTATCAACAAAATTATTAACAGAGTTATCGTGATCATAACTTAATAAATTTATATTAAAATCACCCATAATAATTATTTTTTTTATTTCTGGATAATGGGCTTGAAAGAGTGTTAGACAATTCTTCAATAAATTCATTCACATCACCATTTGGTGGCCTATAGACTACTCCCACTAACAAGTTTTTTTCTCCAGGAATTATAATTTCAACAAATAGAGATTCTAGTGAATCATTCATAATGTACAATTCTGTTTTTGTATGACACTCAAATGAAATGGGAATATACATTGCTACACCACCACCGGATCTGCTTTGTCGATCATTAGTGATTAGTTGATACCTAGGAAGATCGTACATGGCAGTTGGATGACTAGAAAACCAAGTTTCAGTGATTCCAATTATTGGGTACTTATCCTGAAAAGTGTCCAAAAACAAGGAAAGCCTGTCAAAATTTGCATTCATGCTACGCACATTAAAGTGCAAAAAGGACGTTTCATTGACAGGACAGTTTCCTAAATGTTCAGAAAATTGTTTTTCAGTAAAATATTTTGAGTCGTGCACTGTAGCTTCAACCTCGTCATTCAACATATATTCAAAATGTGTTGCATTCATATTCAACTCTGCAACAATATTATCATCAGACTGAGTGTGGCTCAATTGAGTAGCATTAACCTGAGGCATCATAACCTTGACAAAAATCTGCACATAGATCTGTGGTTATAAAGAAAGTAACTGGATTTAGCAATAGCACAAAAGGGGAAAAAAAGACATACACACAATTGACAGAGATGTTAAAAGCCATCCTTTCCGCATGGTCAAGCATCACATGTACAAAAATGTGATGTGTTAACATATTTACAAACTTCCTCAAAATGAGTAAGGAAAAAAGACTCATTTACAGAGGAAAAAAACTAACAAGTAACAAAAAAAAACAAAAACAAACGTGGGCTGCTTCTGGGGCCCAGAATCAACCTAAAAAAAAAAATAATGATTTTCTCTAGCGTACATAATACATATAGAGGTCTACAGACTGTTTAACATATATTCATTATGACTCACATCATTCACATGTGAAGAGATCAGATTGGTCGTTTTACTCACTGGTTAAATATCCAACCAAGTAGAAAAAGAGGTTAAAGAAGTACCTGGAAAATTCATAGGAATGCTATGAATTAGATGCAAAGAAACAAAACAATAGAGTTGAGATCACAGATAAACACAGTTTGTGGTGGATGTGACCACTAAGAACTATTAAAGGGATAGTTGAATTTTTATATAAAGAGCACTGTTTTTATCAAATTTTAGTTACCAAAAACTGCACCATTACATTACAAACTAATACTTATAACTGCACCATGCTCGAAAGGTATACAAAAATTACAAACGACTTAGTAATAAGCCTGTTTACAGTTAAAAAGAGCCGTTAAACCACATGAGGGCATTCTTTAGAATATGTCATTGGTTTCAACAAGGGGCGGATCTAGCCGGCGGCGAGTGGGGACGGGGGCAATTCGTTAAGGACAGGTTATTTGCCAGAATTAAGATTTTGTGAAATGTCATGCACGCAATATGATACAAATCATATAACCTGGGCAAAGGAATGTGAAAATCGAGTTTTGGGGAAGTATAACCCCCACAGCCTAAAGCAGAAAGTGTTTCGGTTGGTTGAGTTTACTGTTCGCACACACACATTCTCACCATTAATGGGGTATCTCACTGAGCGGCGAATGCTTACGAACATTGCTAATGTGGATTTGCCAACTTTTATGACGAATGTTGGCGAAAATCAGAGTGTTTAGCAACAATTAGCGACATTTGAGCGAATGTTTGCGAAAGTGTTTGCGAAAGGCAGTTGGCGACTATTCGCGACTGTCAGCAAATGTTAGCAACAGTTTTTGCGAAGATTAGCAACTATTTGCCAATCATTTGCCATTATTTGTGAATGTTTGGAACCTTTTGCTAACTCCTGGTACTCAATGGGTCGATTTTTCATAGGAACCATATGGTAACGTGGTCGCTAGCATTGGCGAATCAAAAATGACTTCAGCGACACCGTCTTAAAACCGTTTTCAAAGGCTTACAACTGTTTTAAAAACGGTCGCAAAAGTTTGCAGAAAAATAAACCATGAGCATGCTCAAATTTCTTTTCGACAAGAAAAACTGTTTGCAACTATGAAAACTGTTTGCGAACTTTTGTGCAACCTTTGATGACGAACCATGGCGAAACCCCTAATTCGCTACGTTCGCAAGCATTCACCGCTCAGTGAGATGGCCCCTTTAACGACGAAGTATTATTATTATGCTATTTTTTTACCGCCTTTGTCATGCTATTTGAATGGGGAGAAAATCAAATGTCAGGCTTCCAGGGAGAATTTCAATTATTGTTCAGAAGTTTCAGTTGATTCCGCTCGGTTGATATAACTGTTCAGATTATTCAGCTGAGAAATTTGGTTCTGGATGTTTAACATGGACAAAATGCACTTGTTTACTTAATCGCATTATCTCTTATTCATTCTAGTTCTAACGTTTGCTGACTGCTTTCAAGACAATATCATGTTGTCGATCTTAGTTCTGTGTAGCCTGATGTCTCATTGTAACTTTTAGGCAAAAAGCAACGATTGTTGGATTTTAGCGACAATCGTTATTCGTTCGCCATTCGCTGCTCTCTATATTAATACTTTTATGTCATACAGTAAAACAAATTGAAATTTCAGGACTCATGGCAAATTAGTTTTACAGTTGATTCCACTTGAATGTTTAATCCAATTGCTCGGATAATTTAGCAGAGAGAGAGAGAGAGAGAGAGGGGGGGGGTAGAAGTGAACATTCTCCAGTATTATTTGTACTTGTTCATCGTCTCTACAATGCCATTTGAATACATAAAAACAAATAATGTTCGGCTTCCTGGGAGAAATTGTTATTAAGAAATGTCTGGCTGCACCCAGAAGATCCCGCTGGTTCCCGCTCTCTTCGTCTAGCCTTCATTTTCCTTCTTACCACGAATAATGTTATGTCCATGTGCATGCCTCGATCATTGATAAGCTAATCACTATTATCGCTGATATTCTTCTTCTTCTTCCCCTTCTTCTTCTTCTTTTTCCTCATCCTCTTCTTCTTCTTCTTCCCCTTCTACTTCTCCTCCTTCTTCTTCTTTTTCTTCTTCTTCTTCTTCTTCTTCTTCTTCTTCTTCTTCTTCTTCTTCTTTTTCTTCTCCTTCTACTTCTCCTCCTTCTTTTTCTTCTTCTTCTTCTTCTTCTTCTTCTTCTTCTTCTTCTTCTTCTTCTTCTTCTTCTTCTTCTTCTTCTTCCTTTTCTTCTGCTTCTTCCCAGTAGTAGTAGTAGTAGTAGTAGTAGTAGTAGTAGTAGTAGTAGTAGTAGTAGTGGCAGCAGTATCATAATCACTATTATAATTATATAATTATAAGTTGCTATTTTGTTGTACCTTTGGCATTTGTTTGTACTTCTGACATTATTACCTCTGGCGTTTTTACACCGAGCCCATTTTTCAAACTAGGAATATATCACGACTCGACTACCATGGACTGATTTTACCTAAAACATTACCAGACTTATGTAAATAGTAAAATCTTTCTTGAAATCTAAATATAAAATCATCATCATCATCAACAACAACATCAAGGAGAGGAAGAAGATGATCAAGAAAAACAAGAAGAACAAGAAGAAGAAGAAGAACTAGTAGAACAAGAAGAAGAAGAACTAGTAGAACAAGAAGAAGAAGAACTAGTAGAACAAGAAGAAGAACAGGAAAAAGATGAAGAAGAAGAAGAACAAGAAGAAGAAGAAGAAGAACAGGTAGAACAAGAACAAGATGGAGAAGAAGAAAAACAAGAAGAACAAGAAGAAGAAGAAGAACTAGTAGAACAAGAAGAAGAAGAACTAGTAGAACAAGAAGAAGAAGAACTAGTAGAACAAGAAGAAGAAGAACTAGTAGAACAAGAAGAAGAAGAACTAGTAGAACAAGAAGAAGAAGAACTAGTAGAACAAGAAGAAGAACAGGAAGAAGGAGAATAAGAACAGGAAAAAGATGAAGAAGAAGAAGAACAAGAAGAAGAACAAGAAGAACAGGTAGAACAAGAGCAAGATGGAGAAGAAGAAAAACAAGAAGAACAAGAAGAAGAAGAAGAACTAGTAGAACAAGAAGAAGAAGAACTAGTAGAACAAGAAGAAGAACAGGAAGAAGGAGAATAAGAACAGGAAAAAGATGAAGAAGAACAAGAACAAGAAGAAGAACAAGAAGAACAGGTAGAACAAGAACAAGATGGAGAAGAAGAAAAACAAGAAGAACAAGGAGAAGGAGAATAAGAACAGGAATAAGATGAAGAATAAGAAGAACAAGAAGAAAAACAAGGAGAACAAGAAGAAGAAATACAACAACAACAAGTCAACAACAAAACTAGCAGTAACGACCTGAATGGATCAACTTACCAGAAATCTTTCGGTGTGCCCATCCAGAGGAAGGGGCAGACGAACACCGCCACCATGGGCAAGTAAGCGCACGCTGTTAGATGGACGTTGAGGAGCTTGAGTAAAACATGGAGATTATCGGAGAGTATAAGTAATCCAGTCGTGCATATAGCCACACCGTAAAGATAGAGAAGAACGGATGCTATTCTCCTGCAAGAAATTCAGGAATAGAAAGACAAACAATTATCAAATAATAATGTCTACTTAAAGTCTACTTTATATTCCATTATATATTTTATCTTGTATTCCACCTTGAAGGTACTAATACAAAGTTTTGGTATGGGGTCATGAATTTGGTTCAAATGAACATATTGGAAGCAAATGCGATCTTACAATATTCAGTGATCGTTGTCGGTTGAAATCGCGTCTACTGTAAAGTGATGAAATTGTAAATAATAAACTCGTTATGTTATAATAGTAATAATATGGATATTTATATAGCGCCGGTATCCGCCAGGCTCTGACGCTCATGGCGCTGTACATGTATTACTATCACAAAAATATAACTTTCTTAACAAAAATAAAGTAAACTAAAACAACACAAATTATTACGCAACATTGACATGATTAAATAGCACTGTTTAGAAAGAGATGGGTTTTTAGAGCAACTTTGAAGGCATGAAGGGTAGTTAAATTACGAATACGAATACTAAGTGGCAGCTTATTCCAAAGGAATAGCTTCCTCTCAAGACTGACATTACTTTAGCTTTCAAACAATGTTTCTTGACTACGATCGACCGATTTGCTATTCCCGTTTGGAAATTATATATCAGAACTGCAGCCGGGAGCCCCGTTAAATTTTGAATATTCAATTTCTCGAAAGCAGAATTTGTTTAGGGGCTCCATTTTCTAGTACTTGTAATCCATCCACAGGGGCATCCAAATATATCAAAACTTTAAAGAATTACTATCCATCCGATTTTCAAAATTACCCAAAACTGTGCATTACCTTTAATATGTTCTATTCCTATTCTATTCAGAAATTTCTCTTAACAGCGATTGAAACTTCCCCCAGGAAGCCTGAAATGTTAACATTTTGTTAATTCAAATAGCATTGTAAAGACGATGAGCAAATAAGAATAGCAATGATACTTCGTCTTTAATGGTGAAAATATTCGCTTCTATTTCTATCTGCTATTTCATGCGAACATTAATGGAATCAACCGAGTGAAATCAACTGTAAAATTACTTACATTGGGTCCCTAAAGAGTATAATTGCTATTCCATGTCATGGTTCAGTTTCAGATATCAGTTTCCAGTTTAGTTTTATTTCATATTTCACGTTCACATTCATCACATAAATCATTTGCAATAACAATAAGAACTAGAAATTTAATTCGTCATGGGGACGAATTAGGTGGTCTGTTTTCAATTTTATGATCATTGAAAAGTCAAAAAAGAAAAAAAAAAAAAAAATTGTTGGAGACGCCCGGACTCGAACCAGGGACCTCGAGGTCGGAAGTCAAGCGCGTTACCGATATACCAAAACATTTCCCATAGAGAATACACGTAAACGGAAAATGAAATTCTCAAATCCCACTTTGCAAGTGAAATATGAGCATGATCCCGTCATCTAATCGAGAAATAAATGGCACACTTGTGATAGCTTATTGTCTCAGCTACAACATACTCAAAGCTCAGCGTAAACAAAGATAAAACGACAGAGATATTGCTCGCGACAGACGAGAATGTAGAATCCAGTTTTGAGAAAAAGTCATGTCCCATAGAGAATACACGCAAAATGTGAAAAATTGACATGCCTCCTTTAATCGCGAAAATACGCCATGATGCCCTTGTCAAAATGAAATATCGTGGTGACTGCATTTGTAGACAATATTCTCAGGTAGAACATATCAAAATTTGGAAGAAAATTAATCAATATTTACAAAGATACAATCAATTTTCCAAAAATATGATGACGTCATAATATGCAAATTGAAATTTTGAGTTCGGAGGCCATTATGATGACGTCATGAGTCAATTGAGGGTCAAATGAGACATGGAATCATATCTCCAACTCATGCTTTTTCTAACCATGATATAAAAGTTGGGGTCAATGGACTATCTGAAGAGCTATTATGATTTTTAAAATGGCATGTTTTTGATCAAATTTGCATTATATTGCCCATAGCAGCACGCGCGGATTTTGAACTTTGACGCGCGCTCACGGCCTTATGAAAGGTCAAGGGTGACTGAAAAAAAATGTAAATTGTCATTTACGGTAAGAGGAATCTAAATCATGTAAAAATTTTGAATTTGACCTTTTCCGCGCGCTATGAGCGCGCGCAACGCGCGCGGGGACACTTACGGACGGAAAATTTTGAAATGCTTAAAATGACCTGATTCGTACTCTCCTTTAATAGTTAAGTGATTTTGAGCATTTGTAAATTTTGACGCACGCGTACGTGCGCGTCGTGACCTTTATGTGACCTTTGATGACATGACCTGTTGACCCTTGACCTGAAGTATATGTGATATGAATATGAATGACCTTTGCTTATGCATCACGAAGATATGATGGATAACGTGATTTCACAAAATGGCGCCTGGATGACGTCACGATGACCTGATGACCTTGAAAATGTTCCTGTCACGTATCATGACAATGACCTATGACTGTGTCAAAATTGAAAGAAATTAACACAACCAATCTTGAGTTAATCGATAAACAAAAAACGGGAAGAAATAAAAATAAAGAATAATAAATAAATAAATAAATAAATAAAGAAAGAAAATTCTGACGAAAACAATAGGTGGTCTGTTGACAACAGACCACCTAATTAATATGTTTTCAGGAGTCGCGCGATATGTGTGGGATGCGTGTGAGGGATGTGAACATGGATGATTAAAGATTATAAAATGATGACGTGGATCTTAATCAAATGATTGGTTGAGAGCGCACACGTGACCAGGCATTCATTTTGCCTAACACTTGATTTTGATAATGGCCGGTCATTAGTAAATTCATATTATAAAAAAATCATTTTATAAAACAAATAAAATATAATCTTATAAAACAAACACCACACTTCAGTTTGTTCGGGCATTAGTAAAATTACCTACACAGGGTACATTTGGAACAGTCCTGGTGATACTAATGCCCTCACTGATGTGTATTATTTGTATAATAAACAATATATAAAAACGAGCAGCATCTGTACTAACCTGCCCCATATTCCATATGCCTCGTAGGCCAAGGCTGGGTAAGGATAGCGGTGGATTTCGGTGCGGTATTTCGAGTACCTCTGTCGGAGTAGTATCCAGCTCTTAGAGAGTAAAGTCCCCGAGAACGCCGACAGGAGTAGAGCTACGATGGCCACCACAAGACCCCACGCACCTGTGGAGAAGAAGATAACATGCATAATTATAAGAGGGTATATAGCTGATGAGGCAAGATAGCTCAGTTGGTAGAGCAGTGGTCTCGTAATCCGGCCGGGAATCCGGCGTCCCGGGTTCGAACCCAGGCGATTCCCTTTTGATAAGGCATTAATCCTCATTATCAGGCATCTCGGAGAGGGCCCTTTTAAGCCGTCGGTCCTCTGGTTGCTTACTAGCAAGTATTTATGCTTTCTTAGCAGTCAGGTAAAATAACCACCACTACACAAGATGTATACCGTAACGATTTAGTTTATAGTGAGCTGTTTATCGTTTATTGTGAATTGCCAATTTTTAATTGTTATAAATGGGCTTGTTTTTTTGTTGTCATGAAACCTTTCTCCATTTCTTACTACCGGCATCCACTCACTATCAACACGACGGACAAAGAAAGAGGACAATATATATACAGTTCCTCAGGTAGACAAAGGAACATCCCTTCACGTAAAAATGTGTAGAACAGGTGTCACATTCAAATTCACCAGTTCTACACATTTTTACATAATAGCAGTGAAGGGATGTTCCTTTGTCTACCCCAGCAATTGTTGAGGTTAGAATGAGGAACTGTATATTTTGTCCTCTTTCTTTGTCCGTCATGTTCATAGTGACTGTACCATTAGCCGAACGGGGGGGGGGGGGGGGGGGGGGGCTTCGTAAAGTCTCTTGCACGATTATCGACTTTCTAGTTTTTAAACAGCGCGAGGGGATTAACAAAAAATAGACATGTGGTTGAACAAAAATAGACATGTGCTCTCTATATAAAGGAATGAGAATTATAAATAGACTATCCTGTTGCTCGAATATGAGCGGATGACACCGTAATATCGTTAATTTATCAAATTATTTAAATTTGTTTGGGGGATTCATACCCTAAGCCTACGCCTCATACGTAGAGAAAATATGTCGTGACTATATACCATACGGTAATTCAGCAAGCTGATGGATATATTAAACGCATGACAAACAGAAGCCAGAGTATACATAGGCGCCTCAGGCATCCCTTACTATTTGCGCACTGCACTGTGAATGGAGCTACTTTAATCATTGTTATCATTGTTATTATTATTTATGACTTGACAAAGATAATATTATCTGACCTGACTTGACGAAGTTCATATCAGCTAGAGGAAAAGGGGAACTTTTAATCTGTTAAATATGTGCCTCATGAATACTTGGTTTAACTCTTTACCGAAGACTCATATTATGGTTAAAAGGAGGTGGAGTCTTCAGTAAAGAGTAAAACCAACCATTCCTGAGGCACATAATTATTTAAAAGATTTAAAATACCCCTTTTCCTCTAGCTATCACCCCATCGGTTTGCTCCTGTACTCATGATATTTGTTCGACTTCTCAACACAAGCTTTGGTTATCGCACTTACACACCAACATACACACACACACTTATAATAAAGAAAGTATCAAAGCAACAATAGAAAAGAAAGGAAAGAGAAGTTCATACTCGGCCATGGATATCACTTTTTGGTAAAAGTATCTTGTGTACATCAAGTAATTTTAAGACTGAATCAAGTGAATCAAGTGAAGTCATGATCAAGTGAATTCCATTCGCGTAACCCAACAATTGATATAGCAATATACAATGAAGTTGAACGACAAAGTGGGTGATTAATTTTTTACCATGACGAGTAGGGCACGTACGAATAGAAGAGTTTGTTTGGAAAGAGAGATTTAAGGTCATGATTAATTGAATTCCATTAGCGTACCCCAAACAAAATATATAGAATTAAGTTGAACGTCAAAGTGGGTCATTTAATTTTGGGCCATGACGAGTAGGGTAAGTGCGAATGAAAGAATTTGTTTGGAATTAAGGTAATACAAAGTTTTAGTATGGGGTCATGAATCTGGTTCAAATAAACATATTGGAAGCATATGCGATCCTACAATATTCAGTGATCGTCGTCGCGGTTGAAATCGAGTCTAAAGTGATACAATTGTGAATAATAAGCTCTTTATGTTGTATAGCTCCCTCTCAATACAGATTTTACTTTAGCTTTAAAACAATGTTTCTTGACTACAATCGACCGATTTGCTATTCCCGTTTAAAAATTATATATCAGAACCGGATATTTTGAGATTTTCATGGTCGCAGCTACCATGAAATGGCCTTAGGCGCTATTTGAAATATTTGAATTTTACCGGGAGCACCGGTAAATTTTGATAATTCAATTTCGAAAGCAGAAGTATTTTAAGGGCTAAATTTTAAAGAATTACTATCCATCCAATTTTCAAAATTTGCCAAAACTTTGCATTACTTTTAACAAAAACAGATGGTACAGGCTTTTTTTCATGAAAATCAAACATGAATAGTAGTTTGATCAAATCAAACACAGGAATATTTTTCAACATTATAAATAGTGGCATGCTTGGAGAAAAATAAGTAACGTAAATCATGAATACTTTTGGTGTGTATGTATTGCCCGAAATAACTAATATTGCAGTAATTTAATTGGGGAAGAATTATTGCATTGTAAATATTCATTGAATCCTTCCATTCAGACAAGACACACATACTTCTGGAAACCTTAGAACAAACGTAATCAATATGACATTTCCAATCTAGAGTTTGTTCAATATAAGTACCAAAGAAAAAAAGAAGAATTCTTTTTTTCGTTCAACAGTTACATTTGGTATTCCAACAGGACCAATGAACTGTTGAACTTTCTATATATTTCCTTTGTGCGACAAATTACATATTTAGTTTGTTTGAAATAATTCTAAAATAATTTAGTTTAAACCAATCTCTAAATTTCATAAACTATTAATTTAAAATAGAAGAATTACATTACGAAAATAGCCTAAATATTGGAGTTCCTCAAGGATTAGTTCTCGGACCACTCTTATTTTTCCTATACATTAATGATATTATAATATCATCACAATCTCTTATGTTTTCATTCAATCAGTATATAGGGTGTGCTTGATCTTACCTGTTCTTGCGACGGCACCAGGAAGTATCTGAATTCCTAAGCCGGCAATTTTTCCACTGATCAGTGCTGTAGCAGTCATGACCGACAGACCCATACGGTTGAATTGCTAGAAGAAAATAAAAATTAAAAATTATATTGTTTGTTTTTATTTCATGCCATTTTATTCATTTCAATGTGGGGTAGGGTGGGGGGGGGTACTATATCTATCCGACATTGCAGTCAAGATTAGGCCCCAGAGACCCCGAACCAAACCTCAAAGTCGAGTCGATTTCACTCCATCTATATATACGTAATATAAGTAATAATATGTCTTTACATTATCCGAAGAAAAAGGAGGATGAGGATCGAGATTGGGCTCGTCAAACTACCCCAATTCATTTGGGTCGAGTTGTCCCGTGAAGTCCATTGACCATGATTCGTCAGGTGTACATCACAAAATGTCTAAAAAAAACTGACAAAAGATTTTCATTAGGAGGGAGTGTCAAACCTAATAATGAATGTCCTTGAGTTGAGTTGAGTTGAGTTCTGGTCATGTGATTGCATTGTGAAAGAAACGGTGTGGAATCGATCAGAAAAGGTTGATCATCTAGCATATTAGTATTCGTGTGTATTGCAAGATTCTGGAATCATCAACATGATAAGAAATTTGGCCAAGTCTTGGTAAAGTTACAAGCACTGTACACAGAAGAATGTATATGGGACTACAGGAACACGTGGCGTAAAAATGCGTCCCGATTTTCACGATGCCATATTTAGTATATAAAGGCGCTTGAAGAGCCATGCTTTTCAGGGAACATGTTTTATCTGATGTTCTTCCACTCTTGCATAATAACAATGATAACGCTCACAACTTATTTTTCACCTCTTCCCAGAACTCAACCTTATCTTTAACTTCTCTTTGCCCCTCATGCTCTGATTGTAATATACAGTGCGTCCCAGCAAAAAACGAAACCGAGAACTATCGATGTTTTATCATAACTTAATCACAATTATAATTAATAAATGACACATATTTGGAAAGCTTAGATCCTCTTCTTTCATTTGATGCAACAAAAGACTTAACTCCGTTTCGTTAAAGATCAGCCATGCATCAGATCTTTCGTCTTCTTTGTGTATGGCTGATCGTCAACGAAACGGAGTTAAGTCTTTTGTCAACTCTGCTCGTTGCTACGGCAGGCAGCCAGTGAAAACGAACTCGTTTGATCAAATTATGGAAATGCAAGCCTTATTTTAAACAAACAGAACTTTGTTATTCCTGGCTCAATTTTCCTGACTGAAGTGTCATATGAAAGGGCAGAAATTGAACTTTCTAGAAATGTGATTTTCTCCTTGAAATTCAGATACCGCCCGCCAAATGACTTTTTGGTTTCCTCTCTTCAAATTGCTTTTAATCACTCATGCGTGAGATATGAATCATATGAGTTGCATCAAATAAAATAAGAGGATCTAAGCTTTCCAAATATGTGTCATTTATTAATTATAATTGTGACTAAGTTATGATAGTTCTCGGTTTCGTTTTTTCTGGGACGCCCTGTACATTGTATTTTTAAATATTGTTTTAAAAGACTTTGAATTAAACCAGTTATCTATTCACTGTGACTCGTATTAGGTCAAACTGTTTGCTCTGGTAGATGGGTTACAAAATGAGAGAAGTTGACGTAACCATGCTAACTTACTGAAGAATGTGATGTATTCTCGATGTGATCCTCTTCTTCTTTTGAACTTTGACCTGCGTATGACTTCTTAATCTCGAGGAGCGGTCGATCCGATCTGTTATTTGCCATGGCGACCAATATAAGCTTTTCCTTCCTAGATTGGTAGAGAAGAATGAGTTCTAATTTAATTGAATAGAATTTGTGATATTTTCATACCCATGTGGAAAGCTGTAAAGGAAAAATTGCGAAAATGTATACTTTTTCTATAAAATGTAACTCAGATTTGTATAGATACAATCACCAAACAATGTGATAATAATAACAATAATGATTTTGATAATAATTGTTATAATCATAACAATTAAAATAAATATATGATATGATACCACTAATAACAATAGTGATCATTCAAAAACAATAAGGCTTACAAAATTACAGAATTTGACGAGAAACATACCAAAGCACATTATTAGACTCAGGAGATAAATTTTAGTATAGGCTAAGAAAGTTCATAGTTGCAGTCTGAGCAAGAGCAGATAAAGGTCATTGCAGACCAAATCGTGAAATACACGGAGACAAAATACTGGATACGTGCTCATGAAAGTTATGAAATCATTATACATTTATGCACAAGCTTTAGGAGTGATTTTTTTCAAAATGTACAGAGTGGGACCTCTTCATGTTTTGGAGAAAGTTGGATATTCGGGGTCACTTGGAACATGTGCTAACCGTGAACTAGTCTATTAATTGGAGAAGAATGTTTTAAGGGATGGTTAAAAAGGGGCAAGTAAAATATCTCTGATTAAAAGTGGGATACAGCTGTTCCACGTTTTGGATTTAGCCATTGTAAAACGTTTGATATAGACATCCCCATTGCCCCCATACACATACACAATGTCAAAGCCTATGCATAATGATTAAAACCATCAAGGGGAGTGTTATTTCTCGAATAAGGGCGACTCTTAATGAAATATACGGGTAGCTATAGACAAGTCGAGTGGTATTATGGGCCCAGTCCGTCTATCCGATTACAATACTATGCTATGCACTTTATCAATGTTAAGCCTCAATGAAAGAATTATTGAATTAATATTTATAAATTTTTCTCTCTATTTACCCTTCCACAGGATTCTGTTATTAATTATCAACATAATCATTTCCACAAAAGTTCGATACATGCACTATTTAATGACTTGTAGAGGTGTTGTGGTCGAGTGGATGCGTCGCCGGACTGTCGATCACAAGGTCTGCGGTTCGAGTCCCGCCGCCGCACTAATGTCCTTTGGCAAGACATTGATCTACATTTGCCACACTCCACCCAGGTGAAGTAAATGGGTACCTGGTAGGAATTTATTCCTTGAAATGCTACAGCGCCGTATGGCAGCCGTGCTAAAGCCAGGGTAATAATCGGGAGCGCCAGGAGGGTCAAATCTGACTGACATGAGCGCTATACAAGAACCCACTATTATTATTATAATATTCAAACAATAACAAATTACAAAATAACCTCGGTCGCACCATAACATATAATATATTAAACTTGACGAAATATAATGTGTACACCAATTCTTTAACATAAAAAGAAGCAAGGAAACTAAACATAGACACTCAGAAACAGTTTGGTAAAATGTAATCATTTGTTCACGAAATTAGTTTCTTTTAAGATTTGTTTTTATATCTTTCCATATAAATTATAATCATAAGTTTTAACAGCTGACACAATTTTTTTTTCAAACAGTGGTATCTGATTGTTTCATTAGGCTGAAAAGATTTATTAAAGCTCATCAGTACTAGTGTAAAGGAGGGATTAGACCACACTGGAAGGTCACTGGACAGGTGGTTATCTCATCAACTCAGCTCTCAAATAACATAAGAAAAAAGGATGATGGGACCACGGGGGACCAATGGTCACCGATTAGGCATTGTTTGTTATATAGAGGGCGCAAGTAGCTTCAAGTAGTGCAGTGGGCCTTTAAGATTAAGATACAAAATTACGGCGTTGTTATGACCTCCTTTCAAGCCAAACAATTTAGTTTGGTTTGTGAGTTCGGCCTTTATATTGGTCTTACTGAAAAACCATTGCTCAAGTTTTGACCATGTTATATTTGAACATGGGCAATAACAAAAAATGTGCATAATTGTCTCTTCACTGCTGTTACAAAACGTACAATGTTTATTAGAAACTATTTGGAATCTCAGCAATGAATCTTTCATGTAAAGTATTCTGCTTAAAATCTTAGAATGGAACCATCTCATTCTTATATCAACAGTTGCAGGCGCGGATCCAGGATTTCTTAGGGGAGGGGGCCCAACTTTTTTTTTTTTTTTGCTCCCGAAAATTTGAAAATCGCGCCGGCCGAAAAGTCGCTCAGTGGGGGGGGGGGGGTACAGAGCACAATTTTTTTTTTTTTTTTTTTTTTTTTGGCTCCCGAAAATTTGAAAAACGCGCCGGCCAAAAATTCGCTCAGTGGGGGAGGGGGGGGGGGGGGGGGGGGGGGGGGGGGGGGGGGGGGGGGGGGGGGGGGGGGGGGGGTGTAGTGAGCACATTTTTTTTTTTTTTTGTCCTCAAAAAAATTTCAATTTGCACCCCCCCCCCCCTTGAGCGCTAGGGGGGGGGCCCCAACCCTTAAAAAAAGGTAAAAATCACGTGATTTTACATGATTTTTTTTTCTCTAGGGGGGGGGGGGCCCCCCCCCCTGGATCCGCCACTGAACAGTTGACTGATCATGCATTACGAACACCATGCTTTATCTTCGCGATCTAAAACCCTGTTTCCATTTGTTGAGGCTGTTATGTTTTTTCACATTATGTGTTTTAAAGATAAAGTTGAGTTCTGGTCATGCGATTGCATTGTGAAAGAAACGTTGTGGAATCGACCAGAAAAGGTTGATCATCAAGCATATAAGAATTTGTGGGTATTGCAAGGTTCTGGAATCATCAAAATGATAAGAAATTTGGCCAAGTATTGGTAAAGTTACAAACACTGTACACAGAAAGATGTATATGGGACTACACGAACACGTGGCGTAAAAATCCTACCCCAGCGTTTTACGATGTTACATGACATATTTAGAATATGAAGGCATTTGCAGAGCCATGCTTTTCAGGGAACATGTCTTATCTGATTTTTTCCACACTTGTCTTGCATAATAAGAATGATAACGCTCACAAATTATTTTCCACCTCTTTCCCAGAACTCAACCTTCTCTTAGAACTACTTGTAAATATGAGAACACCCTTTTTTCTTCATTTTCAACATCAGAGGTAATGCTTCAGGTTTAAAATATGTAGGTTCCATCAACGTTGGCAACTTAGGTATAACACTCTTTTTAAAGCCCCACTGTACCACTCTTGTAGCTACTTGCTCCCTCTATATAGTAAACAATGCCTAATCGGTGACCATTGGTTCCCCATGATCCTCTTTTCCTTATGTTAATTAAGAGCCGATTTAATGAGATAACCACCTGTCAGTGACCTTGCAGGGTGGTTTTATCCCCTGTAAACTAGTACAGATGGGCATTAAAACCGGCCCGAATAGTATTGCATAACCTACAATATTGAAGGAAATTCATTTGAATATCAGATTTATGTAGAAATTTAAAATACGAGAAATCGTACCATCCGTTTCCAAAATGTCATTGATAAAGAGTACTTCATACACCAAAATTTGAAATAAATTGTATATGATTATTCACTTTTATCCTGGGATTATTCCAAAGAGGTTGACATGCAATAGTATCTACAGTGATTTCAACCAGATCAGGGGGTGTTTCACAAAGATCCTAAGTAGAACTTAACACTAAGTGGGACATACAAATTATGGACAGCCATTGAAGCCTTAAAATGAAATATATTCAAAAGCAGAAATTCAAGTATTTTAGACTTTTTATAAATTCCACATCCAGAACATGAAATCTCCTTGATGATAGAAAATATGAATGATTTGAATCAACATTTTATGCCTTTTAAAATAACTTTTAGAACCTCTTTCCAAAATGGATTAGGCGTGTCAATGTACGGATCCCATATTATTATGATTGGAGATAATAAGACGGAGGCAAAAAAGAAAGAAACATATGATAAGTAAAGTGTGTATCTTATGAGTCATTGATAAATCCTCTGATCCATAATATCTTAAGAGATTTCGTATGTATGAAAGTATCTTATATTTTAACTCCACCATCCTTATACAAATGACACATTTGTTTTCTTCTTATTTTTTAGAGGCTAGATGTCATTGATAAATCCTCTGATCCATCATATCTTAAGAGATTTCATATGTATGAAAGTATCTTTTATTTTAACTCCACCATCCTTATACAAATGACACATTTGTTTTCTTCTTATTTTTTAGAGGTTTGTTACCCCCATATTGAAGAGTAAAAACATCGATTCTCTCTTATTATTTGTGAGTTTGGTTCTTGAATTGATAAAAACAAGTCAGGTAGTTTAATTTGGATATAAATACCGAATTAACAATGGTTACTTATCTTAAGGGGGTCAATGATATTTTCAACACTAGGGTCATTCGATTTTTTACATATATAATATATACTTATTTATTTATTTATTTATTTATTTTATTTATTTCTAATCTTTTCACAAATAGTGGTCTTCCATGGGGCCCTGAATAAACATGAACATATTTACATCGTTTTTAACGTTTATACAAAACAGTTAAAAAAAATAATACTCATTTGCAAAATAAACATATATCATTAACCTAGTAAACAGTAAAGTTACATATCATGTGAAATTGTTGCCTCCTGTGGCTGGACCTTGGTTTGGTGCAGGCTACTGTTCAGTGTGCACTCAGGCCCCTCTTGCAATGGCTTGAGTGCACGCTGGACAATGACCTGGGCTTGGGTTCGGTTGCAGGAGGTGACAGCTTTCACATTACTGGAGAAGACATTACTGCCTGCAGAGAAGTCACAAGTGGTGCACGTGCATAGTGGGCAATTGATTTACATGACCACATTTTTTTATATAGTGTGGGCGGGGCTGTTTTGTTGCCTTCCAAATAAAATAACCTTCCATCAACTGCAAAGCGTCTAAGAGTGAATTTATTGGCCTTTCTTTCATTATTATTAGTAGTAGTAGTCAGGCGCGTACGCAGGGGGGGGGGGTGTTTTGGGGGTTAAACCCCCCCTTTGG